CTGCCCGTAGTTTATTCCGTGTCGCCTTATCTAAAGGCTTGCGTACTCTAGACGATATATACTTGGCCACATGTTCTGAGGGGGACCATTCCGCCGACCGTGGGTGGCGTAATAAGTCGGGATCAAACAGGGGTTCCCCGTGTTGGTCCACAATCGTATCCGCGTCCCCTTGGGCCTTGTGTTCTACAACAGGTATATCCGACTGGAGCGGACTATAGTCACGAGAATGGCCGTAGTCCTCGACCGGGCTATCTGATTCGGGATCCGATGGATCTTCCGAATCTATAGAAGCCTCCTCCTCAATGTCGCTGGGATCAGACTCAGAAACTACTTGGGCCCTTGCCCTTTTCCACAATCTAGCCGATTTTGCCCGACTAGTGGCTCTTTTGCGCGGTGGCATAGTAGTCGCGCCATCTGTGACAGGTGTATGGCTGTCCATCTGTGGCATTGAGGAATGTTTCACCTTTGCTAAGGCCTTGCAGCCAGCCTGAGGTTGTAAAGGGGTCGTGACAGGCAAAATCTGGGCCAAGGTCGGTTGCGCTGATTTTTGCGTCTGGATCAGGGCATGTGTAAGTGTCTGTGATTTTGAGTCAGACATTAGTCCCATGGCCGACATAAGGGCTTTAGTCATAGCTTGTGACATAGTGTCATCGATCAAGGTCTGCATATCAGCAGAGGTATCAAGCTCAGTGGGGGGAACAACCATATTATCAAACACACCTGAAGGTGCCTTAAAACCACCTTGGTCAGGGTTAGTAGACCCAGAGGGTGTGGGAGCATCCTTGTCAGAAGGCATAATTATGTTATTAACTGACAGGATTATTTCCAGAAGTATTATAACCAGCCTGTGGTTAGCAAACCTGTAGGGGAGGGTTGAGTAACCCAAGGAGGGAACCTAAAATATAGGAACAAAGTTTATGAATAAAATGCAGATTACAAGTATATTTTTTACTCACAGAGTAATCAATGGTATTGAAGAGTCAGAAAGCCGTCTGACCGCCACTAGCACTATCCCCCAACTCCGCGTTCCGGTCTGTGGGGGGCAGTGCTAGTTTCAGGACGCGGGAAAGCACTAAAATGGCCGCCGCGAGCGGTAAAGGTCCCGAACGGGGGAGGGACAGAAGCGTTCGCATAGGTGAACGTCTGCTTTGTGGTATTAATGCGTTCGCGGAATTAGCCCACGAAACTGCCAAATGAGGGTTCGTGAAGCGAACGCAGGCTCAGAGTGCGTTCGCATCAAATACCCGAACGCGGGTATCTAAAAATAGGACAACAAGCAGGCGAATGGGTGCAGAGAGGGGAGCACGCGCGCTCGCCTCAGTAGTAAGGCGGTCAGACGGGGAATGGTTAGGAAGAGGGCGCAAACGCCGTGACGGGCAAAGCGATTCCTGCAGACACCCCCAAGCTCAGTTAATCGTACTGGGCTCAGGGGTTAAGGGAACCAAGAAGGGAACAAACCCCAAATAGCAATCAGAAATATATCTAGCTAAGCTATGTGTAAACTAGACGAAATGGGAACCAATAAAGGGAACAAAGTTCAAACAGCCATCAAATAGAGTTCAACTAAGCCTGTGTAGCCTGACCCACACAGAAGCAAAAGAAGTAATATCTCACTAATCAATAACACATATAGTAAAGTATTATTAACTAAATAGTATTAAATCAAGCTATTTAAAGGAGCAGTATTAAATAAACACAGCAATATAATATGTAAAAAAGCGATCCCACAGTTAAGAAACCATGGGATCTGATGTTACTTAACTGAGGGAGCAGCAAAGAAAGAGGAATTGGATTGGTTGACAGAGCCTATTATGCTGGAGAGTGGAATCCGATTGGCTGTTCCTGTTGGTAGGATACTCCTCTCAGACTGTTTATTGTTACCTTTGGTTATGTTTGAAAAAAAAAATTTCTTTGCTGCTGAGGGAAAAAGAAAGAGTGCAGCATAATAGGAGCCTCCGTCTCTTAATAAAATTATAATTATATATATTACGAAACTTCCTGGTAAGATGTTAATGTTGTGGGATAATAGTTATATTCACTTGTGTTATTTCTCACATTTTATTTTGTGTACAATGTTCTCTTTTTTTAATACTGTATTGTATTTAAGGCTGTTGGATAAAATAATTGTGCACATTTGTGAATAGGACTATGCTAATATCAGCAAGTTTTTTTCCTTTCAAATTGTTATTCCACCGTTAGCCTATGTGCCTTATTCACTTTTTCGTACAGACGCATATGTAAGCGATTTGGACAGGTTTATATTACGCATGCGCTGGAGACGTCTTTCCGCGCATACGTGTTTATAGGCTTCAGTAGTTGTGTGCTTCAGAAGTGATTATGCGTACATTCTTTTGGAGTCGTCGGACGTCACCCCGCTGACATCATGCACAACACGGATGTGCAGGCTATGGCGGTGGATATCTTGGTAATTTTTATCGTGATTTCGAGTTGCATTTGTAATTAATATTGTATTTATAATTATTAATTTACTATTTGTAGCCTCCTGTTGGTTTTATATTCTTCAACACAGCTGACATCCCTCATGATTAGGATAAGTGATACTTGTCTTCATTGATTGAATGATTTGGACACTTATGAATTGTATACTGTGTGTGTATTTGATAGCTTGACAAAGACCATGTAGGTCGAAACGTTGCGATTTGGCTGTGGGTTCAAATAAATTGCCTTTTTGTTGATATCTTGGAGTGCCTGGCCCTTTCTTCATTTTCTACACAAGGTATTTGGTTTCTTGGTACTGAGACCTGGTTTGGATGCACCCAGATTCATGGGGATAAAAGCGATTGAGTGCAGTTCCACATTGTTGTTTTGGAAAATAAGGGAATTTGTCTAGTGACATAAACTGATATTAGCCAAGTAAATCCTTCCAACATTATTGCTAGAGTTAGGGTTAACACTAGGATTAGGGTGAGGTTTATGAATAAAGTTACGTTTAGGATTGATATTCATATAGATTGTTTTTACTGTACTCAGGAGATGTTGCTGAGTACAGTTAAGGAAATTTTATTACAGTGGCACACAAGATTTAAAAAATTAGCAGCAAAAATATACAACCTGTATAATAATGTGTACAAATACTGATTGTAGGAGCCTTTCAGAGTATTACACAGGATAATGAGTCACTAGAAATATCAAAATAAACTACACATAGTGTAATATAGTATTTAAAGATACATACCCTTGAGCTACGCCACTCACCTAGTAATCCTGCCTCCCCAAGTGAGCACCACTGCAGTTACACACCTTCAGATACCTTAGCCAGCATTTCAGACATCAGATGTTTTGGAGGTGTGACTATCAAGGAAACACACAGGCCTATAAATCCTTGAGCCTTCCATCTATTCAGTGCCCAGTTGTGATTTCTTTGTGGTCCCATCCCAATAACGCGTTGCTTATTCTGAGAATTCCTGGTTTCCTGATTTGGCTGGTCTGACTACTCTGTTATCTGAACTCCTAGACCCTACTTGGCTTCCCATTATTGAGTACCTATGGAATCCCTGACCTCGATTTGTTCCTTGATCTTTCTATTTCGTCTACTATAGGCATTGTGTTAAGCCCTGATACTTTAAGTTCCGGTAATTTCGATAGTGTAAAAACATTAAAGTGGCTGAATAGTGAGATATTGTTAATAACAATTAATTGTTTAATAAGAAAATGCTCTTACAAATTATAAGACAAAATCAGGCATATCACAATTTTCAGTGGACTACATAAGAAGGATGCAGAGAAACTTCTCAGACTGGAAACTCCACAAAACCAGTAAGTAATGCCAAGTTACATGGAATAAACATAAAAAGTGAACTATGTGTAATGTGTATGCAAAAAAGAAATGTAAAAATAACAAATACCACAAACTTTGAAATAAAAATGGTGAAAAGATTGCATCTCACTAAAGCTCAAAATACATCATGTTAGAGTCCCCACGGTGTCCACATTTGCAAATGACATGCATGTATGGAGTAATTTAAATATGTAAGGTACTAAAATACCCCAAAATTCACCATAGACACATTTGACATTGTAAAAAAAACAAAACAAAACAGACTGCACTAGGCAGATAACAATTTCAGCCACATGCACTGTATTGCTGAATTCAATGTGGGGATTTGTATATCAGGTTTACAAAACACACAATAAAAAAACATTGTTATATGTATTTTAAAAACCAGAACCACTCCCCCAATTTTACTACAATATTTAGCAGAAACTGGCAGTTAAATATAAATAGTGTCAAAATACATTTAGATAAAAAGCCTAAGATGTATACAAATATATACTTTTATGTGGCAATTTAGTTTTTCTATGATGGCTGTTAAACATAGATTGGAAAATAGATCCACATTGAAATTTTATTTTACTCTTATTTTGTAACCGGTAACTGCCAAAAGTAAACTACAACTAGACTTATCTATATATGTTTGCAAAAAAACAAAACAAATAACAAGAATATAATGCAAGCACTAAAAAAGGGGAAATACTTCCTACAGGGTGCTCTAGAAAGCAAAGGACAATTCCTGGAGACATCAAAAGGAAGACGTTAAAATATCCAGGCACACCTGAGGTTTCTTCTAAAAGGCAGTCTTTTTATTTGAAACAAGGATGTGGAAATTTCAACAAAAAAAGACTACCTTTTAGAAGAAATCTCAGGTGTACCTGGATATTTCTTTTCTTCAATTTATTATCTATGTATGTGAATCAGGACAAATAAATACATTTTGAATGGGAACTTCTAAGTGTATATGTAGCGGCCCTCTAAGTGTGAATACGGACGACCCAGCAAGGAAGCATGAAGGCGGCCTGACGAGGTTGAATGCGTGCAGATTCAGCAGGTTGAATGCGTGGAGGAGGCCCACTGAGGGTGAATGCGTGTGGCGAGCTGTTATCTTCCTTATCTTCTTGCTCTGCTTCCTTGTGCGCCATGTAGTGATGCTAGTAGCCAGGATGTAACATCACGCTGGCCCCAGCACAACTAAACCAGCTCTCCCAAAGGTAGCTAGCAATTTGTGAGTGTGTGAGAATATGTGTGTCAGTATCAGTGTGTTTGTCAGTGAGAATGTGTGTGTCTATTTAGGTGACCAGCCCTCTGCATGGGAAAGGTGTTTTTACAAACCTTTTCCCTCCAATAATTACCCACTCAAGAATAAGCATTAGGGGTCCTGGCACACTGCACCCAGTCAATGAGCTGAAGTGGTCTAGGTGCCTATAGTATGCCTTTAAACTTTGTTTAAAAACTGTCTCCTAACCTTTTTGGCTCGCTCCTACATTCCAAACAAATTTGTAACACCCTGATTTAATGCATATGGACAAAAAGGAGATAAGTGCACCTAGATGAGTTTGACACTAAAGCAGTGTTTTCAACAGCTGCTAGTAATCAGAATAAAGATCAATTTTAGAAAATAATATGAAAATTTTTACTTTGTCTCAATTAACTTTTTTTGTCTAGTAGAAGCTCCTGGCTCTCACTAATGGTCTGGTGGAAGGAAGGGGCTATTGCCACTACAGTGTGCCAAGCATAGACTTCGGAATGCCAAGATAAATGTTGCAGTATTTTCTTTTTGTATACAAATGTATCAGCAGACATATTTTAACTAGTATATAGTTAACTGATTATGTACACATGAAATGGATTTGATATTTACATTGTTTCTGTTACAAAGATCATAATCTAAAAGGCACACGCCAGTCCAGAAGTGATTGCTACATTAATGCATTCTATATGTGAGTAGTTCCTAGCCCAGTCTTCACAGCACAAAAAAAGTTAGTATTTAAGCATTTCTCAATCATGTTCCAGTTACTGACAGATCGGGTTATTCACAAAAATGAGAATTCAAATTGAATTTCAAACTTAAGGTCAAAAAAGCTGAACCGGAAAAATTCTTTAAAATAACTATGTATTCATTCTACTACTTTGGCCTTACATTTGAAATCCACTCTGTATTCTCATTTCACATGTTAATTCTTAAGGTCTTTCTTCTAGTGGGTTCATATCAATCTCCGTAAGGATGTTACATCACAAGTCAGTGTCTTTTGGGCTCTGGATCATGCAAGTTATTCCACAGTAATTGAAAGATGTTGCAAAATTGTTGTGCTTTATTTATTGCAGATTTATGTTTTATGTTTAGTTTGTGGTTAATTTAGTGCACTTTAATAGGTTTGTATCAGTCTTCGCTGAGCACCTCAACCTTTTTTTAGGTCTTTAGAATTGTAAATGTTATAATTATAAGACCAGGTGGTTGCAGAGTGCTGCAGAGTCAATTTCTGAAACATTATGTTTTCTACCATTTGTGAATTGGCCTTTTATATATTTTACAAAGTGTATGTAAACAAAGTGTATGTAAACAGCAATGCTATCCAAGTGCTATCCGCTAGACTGGAAACGGTAGAGAACTGACAAAGATATTGCAAGTTTAAGGGAAAAAATAGCCAAGTTGAAAATGTTTTACAGTTTGACAAGGCATTTGCAAAATATTCAATTTCCCACAATTCCTAGTTTAGTGAATAGACCTATTTGTGTATACCATACAATGGAATAACAATAGCTAGCTTACTTAACACTGACTTTTGGGGGTAAAAACTATTTTAAATTATTTTCAAACACTGCCCTCCCCCCCTGTTCTTTTGTGATTATTTATTACTTTATAAATTATAAACTTGACATAAGAAGAAAAAACAAAAAACTCATGCACAGAAAATCAATGCCATGTTTGTTTTGTACAAACACACAAACACTTAAAACATATTTATAAGCATAAGAAAAACAAACAATATTTTCATTGTGGTATATTTGTGTCTATATTTATCACTTTCAAATAAGACAGGCATATAAACATCAACAACATATACTTAAATTATGGCGTATTATAGATGAGTGACTAACACACTTTGTATTAGGCTTTATAAAATTACTGTTTTTACAAAAATATTAGTTTAAACTCAGCATTTTCCAAATACAAAAGTTTGATTTTGAAAGGATCCAATTAGCGTGCAGTATTTCCACATATATCCTTTTCCAGGTAAAAATAGATTTTAACATAAAATATAAATTATAAAAATATAATTCCAGACATCAAGTCCCTTCTTCAAATACAATAGTGCAATAAATCATCTTGTTTCTTCTGATTAATTGTTTAAAGGCTACAGTATTATTCCTTTTTATTCAGTTTGTTTTGGTTAATATATAGGTCTCCTCAAAAAAAAATATATATATATGACCCAGCATTAGTTTATGGTAAATTAATTTCTTTCCTTAAGAGAAACAGAATTGAGAACATCTAACCACTTTTTGAAACAAAAGAAACAATTCATTGTATAACACACTTCTGTGCTAACTGTGCATAATAAACAAGGAAGCACAATTTAATTTCAGTAGACCAGTTCTCAAATAGCCGACCAAATTTCTGCCACCTATCAAAAGTTCTACAGCTATGATCATCTGCTAGCTATAGGTATAGTACGCATTTGGTGTATCAGAGCAGCTGTATGGGCATTGTTTGCCGGGTGTGCTTGCTATACTATTTAAAATATAACTACCTTTCCATCATCAATGCAATATCCTCTGAGATATGTAAATGAGTATTTACACACTTCAAAAGTTGCAGTAATTTGTGGTCAATATTTTTACATGCAACTTTTGATTGTTCTGGGGCAACCTGAATTTTTGCATTACAAATAGCATTGTTATAGTTTAAAATAACTTTATACTGTATTATTTAAAACAAGGAAGACAACCAATTATAAAATATTTGGTAAATACTAAACTACAATAAAACATTAAAAAAAAGATAAGGAATATATAGAACACAAAAAAAACAAAAACACATAAAGAAAACAAAAAACACAAAACGGAAATAAAACATACAAATATTAAAATCTAAAAAAACTATTCTAATTGGCCAGGCTTTTATAGCTGAATTTACAATATTAAAAAAGTAACGTACCTTAATTTTGGATTGTTTTTCAAAACAGTAAACACTGGGTTACTCGGAAAGAAAAAATAAAAATAGAACCAGTTTCAATGTAGTATAACAAAAAAATTATTATGGCCTATACATATAACAAATATTTGGTATTTATAGAGATGACATTAAAAATAATTTGCTTATTTCTAGTTCATGTTAGTTCCCCCAAAAATAAAGCCAGAACAGTCAATTTGCTTTCTATTTCACCATTTAACAAAATACAGTTTATAAAATGGGAAAACAAAGGAATAATTCTATTAGTCTTCTAAGGCAATACACATTGGTGCTGTTACTACAACAACTGTATGATTACAAAATGTTTTGTAGACTCCGCTTTTATATATCTAGCTGCGGCATTACAATAACATAAATGCACATATTTGGTTGTTTCAATTACATTAGTAATATTAACAAATATACAGCTGACATATTTGGAGAGAAACCACATTAATGTTGGCATGCTGTAATATTAATGGCATCTTTTGTGTCCATAGATTCAGCACATCCATTCATTGTGCAATCTGTCGATGAGTAAACAAACAGTGCAGGATTCTCAGTGTGTCCCAGGTATATTAGTTAACCAAAGTCGATTCTTGGACGATATTGCAGTACCATGGGAAAAGACTGAAAACAGTAAAAACAAAACAAACAATTTGAGAAACTTCCTTTGACTACTTCTATATCATCTGCAAACATAACACCAATTTTTAAGATAGTTGCATCCATTTTTGGAACAAAGACAATTTTATTACTTAGTGTTTCGTCCCGAGAACTCTTCACATTTACTCTTCAGTTAGGCAAGAATTAAGAATTTCATTATTTTTAATGTGCAGCACTTAGGAAACCATTGTAACTAAATGTCCATAGCAAACACTTTAGAATACATCCAAACTATCCAAAGAAGAATCTGAAGTACAATAATAATAATAATAATAATAATAATAATGATGTTACTACATTGATGCCACAGACATGATTAGAACTAAAAAATAACCTAGTGCATGTATCTAAAATGTAGATGTGAACCTTTTGTTTCCACGTCTCAAAGTGCTGATTTAAACAATTTTCCATCTTAATATTCTAATCCAAAATGCTATTTTTTCTAACCAGTTTTATTGCTCAACAAATATAACAAACAAGCTATTCATCCTGTGAAATGCTATAAACATCTAAAATTAAAAGAGGAGGCACATACTGGTCCTAATTGCAAGTGAAACGTATGATACATGTACCACAGGTTACAAGCCTCTATGTTCAAACACAAGCACCATAAATGTTATTATTGTCAATCAAATCATTACACATGGAATACAAACCAAAGTTTTAGACATTTGTTTTATGGACATACGTTTGTAGATGCATCGGATACATCTCGATGAGTTTCGGTGAGAGACATGTGTAGGGAAGTCGTGCTGTTCTGATACTGAAACTGTGAAGTAAATAGAAACAGACATCCACAGCTGTATGGGTATCTTTAAATGTACACAAAAATAACCTTACAACTACTAACAATTGAAATATTTTATAATGTGCAAAGTAAATGGATACTTAAAAGTAATGAAGGTTCTACTAAACATGCAGATTTAATGGTTAAAAGTCAAGAGCCCGTATTGGCTTCAAATATATCTAAATATCTAAAAGATTAGCTAAATGAAAACATATTCAGCTGTAATAAAATAACTCTTAAGTAGTTTGATAAATTACTCTGAGAGGGTACTATAATGGTATGTGCAGTCTTCCATTAAAGCTTTTTTTTACTGAGCTATTTTGCCAAAATCTTAATAAAATTCTGAAATTCCAGCAAACATATATAAAATAAGAAATTATAATTACGTTTTCACCCCTCAGTCTCCATCTTGTCATATATATAAACTCCATTGTATGATCTTTTCCCATGATTTCACCATTGCATAGTACATCCAGCTGAAAAATAAAACATTCATGGCTATAAGGCACAAACATAAACTTGTTATTAGGCCACAGTTACAGCTTTGCTTCTGTTCACCTCAAATTTGAACACTATAATAATGGCAAATAGTTGAAAAGGATTTACAAAACTGACAGACAATTTGCAACATATTTTCAACTCACCTTAATTTAAAGGGACAAGCATCAGTTGCCAATGACTTTTTAACCCCGTTTTTCAATTTTCTTACCGTTAAGGACCAGGGCTATTTTTATATTTCTGCGGTGTTTGTGTTTAGCTGTAATTTTCTTCTTACTCATTTACTGTACCCATACATATTATATACAGTTTTTCACGCCATTAAACGGTCTTTCTAAAGATACCATTATTTTCATCATATAATTTACTATAAAAACAATTATAAAATATGATGAAAATATATATTTTTTTAAAACACACTTTTTCAAACTTTGACCCCCAAAATCTGTTACGCATCTACAACCGCCAAAAAACACCTGTGCTAAATAGTTTCAAAATTTTGTCCTGAGTTTAGAAATGCCCAATGTTAACATGTTCTTAGCTTTTTTTGGACAGTTATAGGTTATAGGGCTATAAGTACAAGTAGCACTTTGCCATCTCCAAACCATTGCAACACTGATATCTCTCAGGAATCCCTGAATAACCCTTCACGTGTATATATTTTTTAAAAGAAGACAACCTAAGGTATTAAACTTGGGGTATCTTGACTCTTTTTATGCAACAATTTTACCACCAATCTATGTCAAATTTAAAAAAAATAAATAAAAAGAATTGGTGATTTTTTTGACACACATAGCAATTTAAGAATACATATACGGAGAACTTTAAGGGTTACTGACAAAGAACACCCCAATATGTGTTCAGCAACATCTCCTGAGTACAGTGATTCCCCCATGTATAGGTGTGTCGGGTTCTTTGGGGGCTAAAAGACCTTATTTGGAAGGTGCGCATTCCAGTTTTCCAACTTGGAATTTTCTCAGCTGTTCATCATGCACCCATGTCCTATTTGGGACATTTTTGAAGCTAAGCAATGTAATTTACCCCCATCAAACCATATATTTTTTAAAAGAAGACACCCTAGGGTATTTCAAATGCTGGTATTCTAACACTTTCCATGCACTAATTCTACCAACAGTCATGGTCAACCTGAAAGTTCCAAGCTAGGAACTGAAATGTTGACTGACATGTGACAATAAATCGTTGTGCTGCTTAAATCCAGGAGTTCCGGCAATTCTCTAATATATATATATATATATATATATATATTTTTTTTTTTAATTCTATTTACTGAGTGCCTCGACCCCGCGAGGCACTCAGTACAGGCAGAGCATCAGAAGCCTGCCTGATGGCTTCTGATGCTCTGTCTCACTGCCGGGGGTAGCGAACACCCGGTGTTCTTCGTGGGGCCACCGGCAGTGAGGGGGCATTGCAGCGATGCCTCAACATCAAGGCATCGCTGCAATACTATTAGAGCTGCTGGAAGTGATCATGATCGCTTCCAGCGCTCTAATTCCAGTAGGAAATATCAGCCAATGAGAAGCTGGCTCTGGATGAAAGGCTCTCAAGAGGCACCCAAGCGTATCATCCAGAGCCAGGTTCTCATTGGCTCAGAAAAATGAAACAGATTCCAGGCAAAAGGGTGCAGTATCCATACGACACTACTGTGCAAGTGATTTAAGCCTGTCCGTTTTGCAGGCTCTAATCCATGTGAGTTTGACTATTTAAAACATCACTAATATACACCATCATTTGTGGATTTACACCATATTGTGTTTTATTTTCTTGTTTCCTTTATATGTACCAATGCACATCTGAGATCTAACCCTATTTTAGGGTAAGTGTATATCTTTAGCGCTCCACTCACTTGATTAGTATAGTCTGGATGTTACATCTAGATTGTACTAAATTCACTCTGATTCAATACTATACTTGGTGGGGATAAGAGAGCACCCACTAGAGTGTGTAGCTGCTCCTTTACACTCAATTGTACTTGCAAGCGCACTTTACACAGTAATCACCAATTTGTGTATTTTGTTAATAGATATAAATAAGTTCGTGAGAAATGTCACCTTAATACGGTTCAATATTAATAAAAATCAGAACACACAAACTAATACAATGCACTTTACCAATTAAAAAAGCCTGAACTGGCAAAACGCGTCTTGGGTCCCTTTTTACTGGAAGACTTTATACCCTATTGGGTTTTGCTTTTGTTTTTACGGTCAGTATGTTAATAATCTTTTATTTAATAAATAGTTTTCATTTTATATGTTAAGTTTCATTTAATCTTTGAAACCATCTATACAAAAAGAGTGTGCTGGATGTCCCCCAATGATCCTCAAGCGTTAAACACCAGAGCCAAGTGCATCCTTTTGGCTCCATCTCTGTGAGTTTTTCCTGTTACCTCCTTTCTACTTATATTATTGTAAATTGATCTGCACTATTGGTTTCTCTTATGTTTCCATTTTTCTAGAACCTTCATCAACTTTAACATTTACCTTAACATATACCTCATTCAAATATACATCGAAAATATGTATGTATGTTATATACTATTTAGACTTGTGCTCCACCCTAAATTTGTGTTTGTTTCTGCCGTGTTTAAGGTGTGGGTTAAGAGGATCCCCCACGGGAGTGCTTTGAGAACGCATTACCATTACCACTGTGGACATCTTGTATTTTTTATTGTATCTACTAATCTACATTTTAAAAGTGTACTTACCTCATATGAACTAGGAAGTTTTAATTTTAAGCTTAAAAACTTTTTTATAGTCCCAACAGTTACGCGTGTTGAACAGCGGATGAATTTCTTCATCAGACCCTAAAAACACAGTTGTTAAAGTGTAAATCACATGCTACCAAACACAAATCACAATTTTTTCATTTAACTGGTCAAAGAGATAAATCATTCACAATGCCCACCAACATTTTGTATCCAATAAATTACAACAGTATAAAGTCTAAATAAACCAACAAGTTCCAAAGTCCATCAACTGCTCCCAAATCACGGTTGTGTGAATAAATTATAAAAAGAAATTACATTTATATCTAATTTTACATTAACTTTCCATATTATAAACTGACACAAATAATTCCAGTCTTAACGCTGCATTACTGTTTTTGAGATGAATCTTTATTTTGTACATTACATAGTTACATAGTTGAAAAGAGACATGCATCCATCAAGTTCTGCCTTTCTCACATTTGTTTTTAATGTTGGATCCAAAGGAAGGCAAAAAACACAGTCTGAAGCGCTTGCAATTGTGCAACAAACTAGGACAAAATTCCTTCTTAAACGCAGAATGGCAGTCAGATGAATAAATGGATAAATACTTGCAAAAACATAACATACAGGGATTTGATTTCTAATTAGTAGGGTAATAGCTGCTTGATCCAAGGAGACATCTGACTGCTATTTTTGGGTCAAGAAATAATTTTTTCCTAGTTTGTTGCAAAATTGGAAGTGCTTCAGACCAGGTTTTTTGCCTTCTTTTGGATCAACAGCAAAACCATATGAGATAGGCTGAACTTAATGGACACAAGTCTCTTTTCAGCTATGTAACTATGAAAAAATATATCCATGGATCAAAAAGCTATTACCTCACTAATTATAAATGATATCCATGAATATTATGTTTTTTCAAATATTTATCCACTAGCGGTTTAAACATCTGTATAGACTTTGATAAAAAACAAACAAAAAAAACCCCTCTTCAAGCAGAGCATTCCACATCCTTATTGTTCTTACTGTAAAAACAAAACAAACACACTTTCCTTTGCCTTAGACTAAATCTCCTTTCTTCCAGTCTAAAAGCGTGACCTTGTATCCTATGTATAGTCCTATTTATGAATAGAAATATTAGCTTGTTGATCCAAAACTAAAGTTGTAGCTGGCAGTACAAAGTAATAACATCACAATTTTAAACCAGGAAGGGAACATTTAGATTTCGCCTGTTTACATGTTGACAGACCAATAAGCTGACTCTCTTAGCCAATCGATGACTCCCCATTCAAAAACCTGACTTGAAAAGTAACTTTTTCAAGCCAGTTTTATGAACGAGGAGTCACTAATCAGCTAAGAGCATAAGCTGACCGCTCTCAATCAGCTGTGCCACTGCCCGATTCTGCGAAAGCTTTCTGGTTTAAAGATGTTGAGAAAACAGAAGGACAGAGAGGCAGGGGGATACAGCACTGGCTCATAGTCTTTGGAGTTAAACCCTTTGAGAACGGTTTAACTCCAAAGGTAAACCAGCATCATGGACCTCCTGGCACCATAACAATTTCATTTCTATGAGGTTGCTATGGCCTCCAAACTGGTTCTTTAAGGATCTTGGAGTATCTATTTAAGGAGTCAGTGAAATATGCCAAGCAGTGAACATATACTATAGGATACTATGTAAAATAAATAGTTTAGAATGAAAATTGAAGGGATAGGCAAGGCAGAACCAGCAAAGAGGAGCAGATAATAAGCAATAGATAAAAACGTAAAAATTGCTTCTGCCTTCTCCACAGTAAAAACCAACTCAATGTGCCAACCATATATATACACATTTATACCTAAATGCCAATCACATAGATATATAACTTGGAAAATAAATCTATATAGATTTCTTAGCTCACTTTGTTACATTGTTGTTCTCTTTACATCTATATCATGGCACAAAAGAAATCTGAACTACATAGTACATGTCTTTGAATTAGACATAAAATTTAAATGTTTGCATTTAAATTTTGTTTATTACCTAATGGAACAAAGGAACCAAACAATTGTAAAAACCTAGAAACCTCTCAGATGTTACAACAGTTTTATACGAATGTTCATGTAAGAATATGCTAAAATAGAGCAGTGATTTCAAACCTTTTTTCACTTGAGTACCACTTGACAGCCCAATTTCAAAAATTGTACCATCATATTAGCAACAAATTTGTAATTATTGTAGTTGCTGTTACTTCAAATGTATAGGTGTTTCTTTTCCCGGTTTCCCCTTCTTCTCTGCTCCAGGAAACTCTGCTTCTCCTCTGACCCAGGCTCCCCCTGCTTTTCACAGTGCAGGTATACACACACACACACACACGTGGATACATAGAAACACACTGATACACAGATACAATCTGACACACATACAAATACAGACACTGACACTCATGCCGATGCATAGACACACAGACACAAACACTGACATTCTGATAGAGACACACAAAAATCACACAAAGACACCGATACAAACACTGACAAAAACAAACACTGATACACAGATACAAACACCAACACACATACAGTTGCACAGACACACTGGTACACACACACAGTTGCACAGACACACTGGTACACACACTGACACACATATAGATGTACAGACAGTTTCCTATTCATTCAAAACTTTTTCCTTTCACTCAATTAGTTCCAGCAGCAATTCCTGTTTTCCTCCACTAGTGGCCTCACTAACCACTAGTCTAATCAAAAACACTCTCACCTGAATAGCATGATCATCCAAACATGCTATAAGAGGCAACACCTGAGTTCAAAGGGTGCCTTTACACTGATTAAAGTTTGTGCCCTGAAGTGGACAATACTTCTTATCCTGGCTCCTACTCTGAAATCCTAATACTATCTGAACCTTCCTAATTCATCCTTTTCAACTTGCCTCACTTACTTAACACTGCGTAACCAACCTGGAGATCCTGATCGTCTTTTCCTACCAGCTTTAATCAATACTGGACTTTGTTTCACTATTGCTTCATTCCTATAAATTACCGGTAACTATTTAACCAACCTGGATATCCTGATCCTACCAACTTTATTCAAATACTGGACTTTGATTTATTATTGAAAAACCCCGCTGTACAACCATCAAAACCAAAGAGACTGATCATCTAAGCGTTAAACTTATATTGTTGTTTAGTTCAGTTTAGTTGTATATAATTGTCATGTAACCTATAATTTCTATTATAGGTTTTCCTTCTCTTCTCCTTCATACTCAACTACAATTTCGTTTATAGGTTCTCCTTCATACTCCCCAATAATTTTGTTTATTGGTTACACTTCTATTTATCGCTTACAACCTGTATCCGGATAACCTGCTTAGGGCATATTGCCTGAACCTAAATTTCTATTTTCTCCTTTCGTCTGTATTGTCTCCTTTTCCCTTAAGTTCTGCTACTCATTATTTTCTTGTCAAATAATGTCTAAAGTTCAAAATAAAGAACTTAAACGCCATATTAAAGGGATTGATATCTGTAGAAACCTCTTTTACTAGTGGTTTAGCTTGCAGAGTTTCTTCCCTTCCAGCTAATGATTCTTGTCTGACCTGATGCAAAACCTGACACACAGATACAAAACAATGACACACTCACAGATACATGCATGTGTACACACACACAGATACACACACTGACACATGAATATATAGAGACAAACAGATACAAACACTCATACGCATGTAGACACACAAATGCAAACACTGACACAGTGATACACATACTGCCACACATGCAGATGCACAGACACACATACTGAGACATACAGATAGACATACACAGATACACACACGAACACAGACATACAGATACATACTGACATATACACAGATACAGATACTACAAACATACATATTGACACCCAAAACACATACCTTTTGAATGGCTTCTGCTGGCTGGGGCTGTTGGGAGTTAAGAGATATCTCCTATCCCAGTCCGCTCCCCTACGTGGCTTAGTATGTTACAGGTGGGAAGAGGTGACCGTCTCTCTCTCACTTCTTCTCAACACTCCTAGCAGGTTATAAGGGGCCTGGTAGTGCTGTTAAAGCACAACAGCGCAGTGGCGTACTAAGGGGGGGGCGGGGGGTGCGGTCCGCCCCGGGTGCCAGCCGGGTGGGGGGTGCCATGGCCAGCCCCCCGCCCATGCTGCAGCCGCCCGAGCGCTCTGTAGAGAGCCTCAGGCGGCTGCAGCTTTGCCCGGGCGCAGCCTGAGGAGAGGCTGACAGGAGGGAGCGCTCCTGTCAGCTCCCTCACTGCAGCATGGTCCGACGGGTACAGAGAGCAGCTGTCTCCTGTACCCGCCGGACTAACAGGAAGTGCACACTCAGTGTGCACTTCCTGTTAGTCCGGCCGGGTACAGGAAACAAAAGCTCCCTGTACCCGCCGGCTATACTGGGATCGGCCACGCTACAGGGAGGTAGGGGGGAGGGGGAGAAAGAAGGGTGAGAGAGGGGTGAGAAAGAAATAAGGGGGGGTGAGAGAGGGGTGAGAAAAGAAATGGGGGCAAGGGAGAGAGGGTGAGAAAAGAAATAGAGAGGGAGAAAAAGAGGGGGTGAGAAAAGAAATATAGAAAGTGGGGGTGAGAAAGAGAAATAAGGGGTGAGAGAGAAATAAGGGGTGAGAAACAAGGGGGGGGGAGAGAAATAAGGGAAGAGAGAGAAATATAGGGGGGTGAGAGAGAAATAGTAAGGGGTGAGAGAAAATAGGGGGTGAGAAAGAGAACAAGGGAGGGGTGAGAAAGAGAAATAAGGGGGTGAGAGAGAAATAAGGGGGTGAGAGAGAAATAAGGTGTGTGAGAGAAAATAGGAGGGGGGGTGAGAAAGAGAAATAAGGGGGGTGAGAAAAGAAAGGGGGGGTGAGAGAAAAGGAGGGGGGTGAAATAAGGGGTGAGAGAGAAATAAGGAGGGGGGAAGAGAGAAATAAGGGGGGATGAGAAAGATAAATAAGGGGGGGTGAGAAAGAGAAATAAGGGGGGGTGAGAGAAATAAGGGGGTGGGTGAGAAAGAGAAAAGGGGGGGGTGAGAGAAATAAGGGGGTGGGTGAGAAAGAGAAAAGGGGGGGTGGGTGAGAAAGAGAAATTGGGAGGAGGAGAAGGAAATTGGAGCGGGACGAGAGATTGACATTCATCACATACACACAATGCACCCTTTGCACACAGAAAAACACACAGACACACATACACAAGCAATGCAACCGTTACACACAATGCATCCCTTACACACACAGAAACACACAATGCATTCATTACACACACTCAATGCACCCCTTACACACATTCAATGCATCCCATACATACACAGAAACACACCTTGCAGTCCTTACACATACAAACACAATTTCTCACAATGCATTCCTTACACACATATCAGGACATCCCCTACACACTCCACCCCCTGTGAACAAACTCATTGGTGGAACATGAAGGTGGACCCTGGGACCCAGACCTTGAGCTGTGTAAAGGACCCCCAAAAAATGGAGCTGCTTCCCGTTCTCCAGAACATTGATTTTTGTGACCACAGTTACAAACCGCCTCCAGAGAGCCTGTTCTGCACCAGACCAGTGGAGCCAGACTGCAGCTGGAGCCCATCATCATCCTCATCTGGTTGTAAGTAGGCAATCTAGTATATTATTCGTGGTACTAAGCTCTAATTTACCTCACATTAAAGAAACACTATAGTCCCCAGAACCACTTCAGCTTAATGTAGTGGTTCTGGTGTCTATAGCCTGTCCCTGCAGGCCTTTTAATGTAAACACGGCGGCACTGCAGCACTGGCGCTAGTTAACATGGCAAATCATATGGTTGGGGCATTGTGATGTCACATGGGGGGCGGCAAACTTTACTTTTGCCTAGGGCGGCAAAAATCCTTGTACCGGCCCTGGCTGGAGGGGGCTGTGTGAGCTGTGGCCGCACAGTGTCCCATGGTAGTTGGGGTGCCGTGCGGCCAGTACAGCTCACTCAAGCAAACAGCTGATAAACTGGCCGCACGGAGGAAATGTGTATGTGTGACTGTCTGCCTGTAACTGAGTGTGTGACTGTCTGTCTGTAACTGAGTGTGTGACTGTGTCTGTAACTGAGTGTGTGACTGTGTCTGTAACTGAGTGTGTGACTGTGTCTGTAACTGAGTGTGTGACTGTCTGCCTGTAAATGTGTGTGTGGGGCTGCAGGGATTTTGTAGAAGGGGGTGGGGGTTTTGTATTGGGACAGGAGTCTTTATAAGGGGGGATAAGCAGGGGATTTGTGGAAGGGGGCTTGCGGGGGTTTTGTAGATGGGGCAGTACAGGATTTGTAGAAGGGGCAGGACAGAGGTTTTGTAGGAGGGGCAGGGCAGGACAAGGGTTTTGTAGGAGGGGCTGACAGCGGTTTTGCAAAGTTTACAAATTGTAAAAATAAAAGAAATAAAACCTTTAACATTTTTTACAGGTTTTTTTTTTTTGGGTGGGGGGGGGTGCCAAGCACAGGATCCGCCCCGGGTGCCAAATGCTCTAGGTACGCCCCTGCAACAGCGCACTACTGGGCTCCTCATGGCACATGCCCATCGAGTGGCCTTAAGTGCATGGGCCACCGAATATGCCCACTCACCTTGTAGTTCCCAGCCCATGCGATGTGGGTGCACCGCCGCCATTACCATTTTTTTGTCGCGTACCTCCAGGAGCATTGGATTGTACCCCTGGGGGTACTCGTACCACGGTTTGGGAACCTTGGAATAGAGTATTTGGTTTTGTTAAATTGGATTATGTTTTACTGAAGGGGTGCCCAAAAGGTAGATACCCATATGTTGTAGAACTACAACTTCCATAATGCTTTGTGTGCCTTTAGAACATGGTTGTCCAACCTTTGGGCATCCCTGGGCCGCACTGAGCGAGGAATTGTCTTGGGCCACACATAAAAGCTATAATATAAGAACGCATATAGTAAGACTAGAAACAGATACTAGGATCTCGAAAAACACAGCAGCCTCTCATTAGGCACATTCCATAGGAAGCCTAAGAAATAACAATATACAGGAGAAAGGTGGAATATCAGGGCAAGCCCAAATAATACACCCACTGAGGGCGCTAGGAGATCGAGAATAGTGACCTCAAAATAGTCAAATGTGACTATAAAAGTAACAAAATGTATTCTTACATAAAATAAAATACATATAAAAAAAATAAATAAAAAATATATATATGCCCTTGGTCGCGACTCCTAGGGGCTAGGGGATACTTGTACTTAAATAATCTCGTGGCGGTAATCAGGTCTCTGGGCTGTCATCTACTGGCTCGGCTTGACGCGTTTCGTCCCACATTGTTCGGGACTTCCTCAGGAGCTGGGAGTGGATTGTAGGTCCTTCTGTGTTCCTTTTAAATCTTTCAATCTTCGCGCCCAATTAGGTCCATGCGCATGCGCGCAAAGGCATTGTCTTCCAACTCGCCCTGGTGCACAATTGTACGTCATACAATTCGGACGTTCCGGAAGTGCCTCGCGCGCATGGTACCCCTTACAATCTAAGCATAAGTACATGTAAATAAAGTTACACATGGATATGAAAAAAGATTCATATCCCCTATGGAACTAGGGATCTCAAGAAAGTAGTTGGTAAACTGCATATGGTCATATAACATACTCAAGATAGGATCTATCAATATAAAGCACAAGTGTACATAATAAAAGAAAACGATAATACTACCCTTTGCATCTAGCCACAGATATACATCACATAACAGGAATTTTCAGTATGAGTAGTAATGGGCTGTGAAACCTGTACAAACTTATATTAAACAAAAGACAAAAACAAAAGAAGAAGACATCATATGTTAGTAGAGTCACATATGATAACATTTGAATGATTTCAAATACATCGATATATATTAATTCCAGTCTGTCTTATGTGAAAAAGTAAGCATACATACAAATAAAACGAAATAAAATAAGATGAGATAGGGCAAGACTATCGAATACTTCCATGTTCACATAAATGCTAGAATGTCTAGATCGGTGTTCAGGCCATATGGAATGGAAGATTTTAATTTATAAATCCATTCGGTCTCTTTTTTGGCTAATGTAGTTGTAGGGGAAGTTACCTAAAGGTTTTTTTCGTTGCAATAATTGCAGTACTTGTAAATACCAAGAAAGGTACAAACTTTAAAAGCTTTGTCACAGGTGAGATTTTTTTGAGATTAAACATTTCATAACATGCAAGAGTCCGTATGTAGTATACCTGCTAGAGTGTCCTTGCGGTATACAATATGTGGGTTGCACAATTCGAAAACTTCACATACGGTTGCTGGAACACTTTAATGGGATCAGGAAACAAAATGATAAACATAGTGTCCCTCGGCACTGTAATAAATGTTCCAAATTTGATTTAAAAGATTTTAAGTGTATAGGCATTGCTATAGTAACTCCACATTGGAGAGGAGGTGACACCACAACTACATTAGCCAAAAAAGAGACCGAATGGATTTATAAATTAAAATCTTCCATTCCATATGGCCTGAACACCGATCTAGACATTCTAGCATTTACGTGAACATGGAAGTATTCGATAGTCTTTCCCTATCTCATCTTATTTCGTTTTATTTTTATGTATGCTTACTTTTTCACATAAGACAGACTGGAATTAATATACATCAATGTATTTGAAATCATTCAAATGTTATCATATGTGACTACTAACATAGGATGTCTTCTTCTTTTGTTTAATATAAGTTTGTACAGGTATCACAGCCCATTACTACTCATATTGAAAATTCCTGTATTATGTGATGTATATCTGTGGCTAGATGTAAAGGGTAGTATTATCTTTTTTTAATTTATTTTATTATTATTATTTTAAACTTGTGCTTTATTATTTGATAGATCCTATCTTGAGTATGTTATATGACCATATGCAGTTTACCAACTACTTTCTTGAGATCCCTAGTTCCATAGGGGATATGTATCTTTTCTCATATATTTTTTCATATCCATGTGTAACTTTATTTACATGTTCTTAGATTGTAAGGGATACCACAAAATATATATCCCCATACAACACATTCTCTTTTCTTTTTATATGTATTTTTTTAACATCCTTGTCAGTTAGTGACATTAACTTTAAACATAATATTTTTATGCATTATACTTTTTAATATATAAAATACTTTTTTGTCGTATGAACCAAGGCTTTTTTGTTAGGCATCAGATGTAACAGACTAACCACTACATGTAACCTCCACAGATGTGGAAGCATATGTTACTCTGTTTTGCGTTCCAAGGTGGGGGCGCATGTACGCGAGGCACTTCCGTAACGTCCGAATTGTATGACGTACAAGTGTGCGCCAGTGCACCAGGCGAGTTGGAAGACGATGCCTTTGCGCGCATGCGCATGGACCGAATTGGGCGCGAAGATTGAAAGATTTAAAAGGAACACAGAAGGACCTACAATCCACTCCCAGCTCCTGAGGAAGTCCCGAACACTGCGGGATGAAACGCGTCGAGTCGAGCCGAGCCAGTAGATGACAGCCCAGAGATCTTTCTCCTGTATAAAAGCTATAATATAATTAATTTATATAATGAAACTTCAAAAGCCTTTTTCTTGAATTTGTTTATACTTATGTGAGATTGCCAACTTAGGGAGCTATCTCCTAAACACATACATGTATATAATACACAAAAAGTAGGTGGAGCAAGTGACAATAATAATAAAATGTACTTCCCTCTCTTCTACCTTTCTTGCTGTAAAAGATAGAGAGGTACAAGATAGTGCAGATATTTCTTATACACAATATATATAGAAAAAAAAACAAATCTTATGCACTCACAATGGAAGAGCCATAGATTAGAACCTGGCTCTGGTGTGAATCTCCTCTGGGATCTTAATAGGGTGATCCCCAAACCTCTTTGATGATACTTGTTAGAGTATAGCTTCTTTTTCCTTTTTCTTTCAATACCAGGCAATGGAGATAGAGTATATTCCAGGGAAAAAATATTTATTTGCAAAAAATTATAAAATCAATATAAATGATATAAATATAAAGGGTAAGACCTCCCAGTGTCCAGTAAACTTGCCAAAACGCGTTTCGCCGGTATGTGGCTTCCTCAGTTGGCATAAGGTGGTAATGTTCTCTAAGTTCTTAAATATTTAAAAATCGCGGGTAATTTTCTTCCAGTGGAACGCATCTATGCGTTCCACCGCCTCCTTCCGGTTTCCGGAATGTCTCCGTCACTTCCGGTTTCGCCGAAAATGCAAAGCGTTTGATGGAACGCATCGAAATCTTCCTATTTCCGGCGGAATTACATCATCTCCGGTTTGATCGAGCTGTATGTGAGGAGGCATCCTCTTGGTTCAAACATTCTTGGAACGCATATGCGTTCCAATGTTATGTATAATATATGTGTCAGTTCCCAAGATTATAAACAGTGTTATTAAAAATGCTGCAAGTAATATCATAAAAGTGCTTAAGCAAATAAATATTTTTTCCCTGGAATATACTCTATCTCCATTGCCTGGTATTGAAAGAAAAAGGAAAAAGAAGCTATACTCTAACAAGTATCATCAAAGAGGTTTGGGGATCACCCTATTAAGATCCCAGAGGAGATTCACACCAGAGCCAGGTTCTAATCTATGGCTCTTCCATTGTGAGTGCATAAGATTTGTTTTTTTCTATATATATTGTGTATAAGAAATATCTGCACTATCTTGTACCTCTCTATCTTTTACAGCAAGAAAGGTAGAAGAGAGGGAAGTACATTTTATTATTATTGTCACTTGCTCCACCTACTTTTTGTGTATTATATGTCATTTTATGTGAAGGTGTAGGGGATACCTCACTGGTGTTGAGAGCAATTTTATCACTTCTGTAGACATACCTGTTTGTATTATTTCACATACATGTATATACATATGCACATATAACCACACATATACACACACACACACACAATCCCAGACCTATACACACAATCACAGACCCCCACACAAACAAGCACAGACCTATACGCACCATCACAGACCTATACACAAAATCACAGATGTACACACATAATCACTGACCCATAAACACAATCATATACATACACACAATCACAGACCTATAAAACACAAAAACCCAAATATATATATATATATAGTTAATACAATGCTAAACAAAAATCTGCACACCAGTCAAGCCATAAGACTTGCTTTTCCCACAGAAATCCCAAATCAGCAGTGATGTTACAACCGCAAAGGATTCTGGGTGGGCATATGCAAATTAGTTTAACAAAGAATCACATTTTTGCCTCATTCCATTTTAAACATGGATTCCTTTTAATTTGTGTTTGCAGTATACAACTGCTTGGAACACAATTTAGGATAAGATGCAAAACCAGTGAACCACTCATGGACAGCTGTTTCGTTGTTAATGCAACTCTTCAGCATGAGGTTGGTTACTGGTTTGCTAATTGAGGCTTGGTAGTGCTTGGGAAGCAAAATCTAAATAGGTTATGGTGGGGAAAAATTGTGATTGAAAACCCCTTCCACCTGAAGTATGTGGATAGTTAATACAATGCTAAACAAAAATCTGCACACCAGTCAAGCCATAAGACTTGCTTTTCCCACAGAAATCCCAAATCAGCAGTGATGTTACAACCGCAAAGGATTCTGGGTGGGCATATGCAAATTAGTTTAACAAAGAATCACATTTTTATATACATACATACATACATACATACACACACACACACACACACACACACACACACACACAAAAGGCCCACACATACATACCTATACACACATATAATCACAGATACAGCAGTGATACCGATGCCGGGATGAGATCATATCCCAGCGGCTGACTCACTGCAGGGCGCACAGGAAGCTGTCTAGGAGGAACACAGAATGCAAAGTGCTCCCTGCCACCAGGCACCGCAGACAGCAACCATGCCTGACACCCCTGCTTTAGAATGACAAAGCATTATTCAAGCTGTGGTTTTAAAACATCTCAGGATCTACATTTTGTGCACCCCTGTTTTACAGAATTGCATACCATGGTGATGAAACGCAGTTTAAAACTTCCAGTGAAAGAAGAAAGGAAACTACATTGTTCACTAAAACTAGCAATATACATATCACACATAGGATCTTGAGTCTGGACAAGGATCACAGTGCACAAGGCAATAATTTTTGCAGATTCATTATTTTAACCTATGGCAATATATAAGTAACTCACCAAAAAAGAAAACAAGGGTTTTCTTACCTTAACTACGTTATCCCCAGACTGGCCATTATTACGTAAGCAATCAAGGCAGATTGCAATTTGTGGATCACTTCTGTGATAGTCTTTATCCTCATCATTATCCTCTTCATCTTCTTTGCACCTCTTTTCCTTCGGATTTCCATCTGTAAATATTTTTCAAATTGCATTAAAAGTTTATCAGAATATTGCTAGCAGAAGATAACTATGCTGATGGCTGAAAGCAATGTAGGTTTTATAAAGATCTAAGCCCTAATTTCTTTCAAAGAACTTAAAGGAAAACTCCATAATTAAAAAAATATTTATTTTTTAACATGGGTGTCCCAAATAAACTAAACGTTTCCCCTCCCCCATCACCAAGACAGCCTCCTTGGTGCAGGTCAACCTGTCATGGCGGAGATCACTACAATAGATGACATCTGATCCAATCAAGTGCTTTTCAGAGAGACATATTGGAGACCCACAGTGCACACACGGCAGTTAACATTTCAGCCAACTGCCTTTCACTTTGAATCATAGTTCAAAGTGAGTGAGAAGACCCTCCCTGTTGTCTGATTGATAGCCATGACTGTGCAGTTTGTAAAAGAGCCAATTTCTCTTTAAATCTGAACTTTTATAAAATAAGACAAAGTATATCTTTAGTTAACCACTGAAGAAGTTTAGCAAGCTGCAGCGTTTTAAGAGACTGAAGTCTTCTTTTGAACTTTTCAAACAAACAGCATTGACACAGACTAAAAAAAGAACACTATAGGCTCTACACCACTTCTCACTTCATCTCACTGAAAGTGCCCCTGTCTGTTTAACCCTGCAATGTGAGAAACTGCAATGATTACATTTCAGTGCTAACTTCAGCTCTAGTGGATGTCTTTCAGACAGCCTCTAGAGGAGCTTCCTGGGTCCTAATGAGTTTTACTGCGTGAAACGACGTTGGAATGTCCTCACACTTTGCATGAGGATATGGAATTCTTCAAATTAAGAAAGCATTGATTCAATGGTTTCCTAAGGGTAAGCTTTAATATGTGCATAGGTGATATGTATAAAAGTAACATGCACATGAATGCCAGGACCCAAGATTTCCCAGCAGAACATTGCCAAAAGCATAACTCTGTCAGGCTGCCTTCATCTTCTTCTGCATCCTACCGATCCGTGCCTAAGCAGCAAACTGCGAGGCACTCTATGTTCTGACATCTTTATCATGGCCAGCATTAAGTTTTTCAGCAAACTGAGTTACAGTAGCTCTTCTGTGGGACTGGACTAGATGGACTATCCTTCGCTCCCCACGTGCAATAATGTGCCTTGGGTACCCATGACCCCGGCATCAGTTTACCAGTTGTCCTTCCTTGCACCACTTTTGGTTCGTACTAACCACTAAATACTGGGAACACCCAAGAAGACTTGCCGTTTTGGAGATGGTCTGACCCAGTGGTCTAGCCATCACCAATTTGCTTTTGTCAAAGTCACTCAGATCTTTTCGCTTGCATATGTTTACTGCTACACACACATGAAATTCACAAACTGACTGTCCACTTGCTGCCTAATATATTCACGGTCAGTGGTTTTAATGTAGTCAAGTTAATTTGTGACTGGACACTGGGACTAGATGGCAGGAATTATGCAAACAGTCAAACCTTTAATGTGTGGTACAAATTAAACAAAAATGGAACAAAATGAAATCAAATAAAAAGTAAATTACCACCTCCATTCTCTTGTGGTCGTTTTCTCTTCCAAAATTCTAACTCTCGATTCTGCTCCCCTAATGAAATACAAATTGAAATGTTGGTTACAACACACAAAAAAAAACCCAAACACATGACAAAAAATAAATGACTCAAATAACCAAATTAAAAAGATAGTAACAACAAAGCATACCTTCTCTTAGTCCCGGCACCAATTTAAATATAATTTCTTCTAGAGTATTGTCCAATCTTCAAATAAAGGAATTAAATAAATATTAGATATACAAAATAAACTCCAATGTTCATTAAATTTGGCACTCACAACAAGTTAGACATATCTGGAAAATAGTGTATGTTTGGCAAATCAAGTATTCATGAGCAGTGTGGTACATTACATACTTTAACCACTTGACTTCCAAAATAGAGTTAAATCTTTTTATTGATTAATTGCCCTTGAGGTACAAAATGCATAAGCGCAATCATGGTTGTGCTATTGCTCCCAGTTGACAGTCTCAGCCAAGATTTTTAAGTGAAGGAAATAAAAGGTATTTGAGATTATACTTTATTACACGTTTTGAGCATATATTTTTCCTCGCTACATGATATGCTTTTGACCTAATAAATGTTTTTACTTCCATGTGGTTTTTAGAATTATATTTAGTCCATAATGCCTAACTCACCCTTATTTATACTCTAGTAATGATCACCAGCCATTACAGGAATGCATTTCTCTACCAGAAGCCACTTTTCACAGATTTAATGCCAGCAATGGAGCTGAACAATTTGCTCACCCCCTGCTTCCTAACAGTAAAGAAAGTTTCAACAGGTCATATAATTCCAGTCAGGGAGCGGGGAGGAGTGATTGTACTCTACCATTTCACGATTAGCATTGCATTAGAATGCCAAAGACTGATAAAGTTTGAACTAGAAGTGTTAAAAACATTTATTTTAGAAATATATACTTTCAATGTATTTATTGTGTATGTGGGCATTATGTTCAAATGCAGAGATTTGTTTTACATTCTGTTGAAATTTTCCGGTAGCTGTGCTGCTAGGAATAGCTTCAGGGTAATTGCAAATACCTATAAGCAACGCATTTAAACATTTTTATTTATCGGTTTGTTTTTGCCACAGCTTCTGCAAGAAAAAAATGTTTTGTTATATTCTTTTATACAAACATTTCAAACCCTGTGTGAAATATTGCAAGATGAAAGACACTATATACTGTCTAAAACTTTTAATTTCCCAAACATTTTGAATGCTGAATGAATAAGTGAAAAATAAAAATTGTGCAAATTTACAAAATTTTAGTTTTTAAGTTTGCCTTTATGGTCATCTATGCACTAGAAGATTACTGTGTTACGATATGTTTATATATTCAAAGTATTACTTTACTGAGAGGGTAGTGGATGCATGGAATAGCCTTCCACCTGAAGTGGTAGAGGTTAACACAGTGAAGGAGTTTAAGCATGCGCAGGATAGGCATAAGGCTATCCTAGCTATACGATAAGGCCAGGGACTAATGAAAGTATTTAGAAAGTTGGCTAGACTAGATGGGCCAAATGGTTCTTATCTGCCGTCACATTATATGTTTCTAAGAAGGTTAAAATAGTTCATAAATACCATTCCTTCTATATATCTGCTGACAATTTGGCTAGCACAATGTACAAAAACACAACATATACTATGGTGCTTTAATTTATTGTTTGCTCATCCGGTTTCTAATCTTCAAATCAGAGTATCAGCTTTTGAAAGGTCAGCATTTCAAAAAATAAGAGATACCTGAATGAAGTCCATCCACACTATTCTGAAGCTTTCGTAACTAACATTGTACAACATTGTTGTGCCAAAAGTTGCATTTCAGGTCTTACCTAAGCATTTCTAATGGATTTGTTTCATGCACTTGGTTTCCACATTTGGGGCAATCGTTGCTTTCTTCAAAATGTTGGACAATACAAGTCTTACAAACTGAAAAAGTAAAATAACATATATAAATAAAAAAATCTCGAAACACTTTATATATCCTGTTTTTGTAAAATGCTGCTACACCACATCATGTTCCACATTGTAACATTTGAATGGAACACTCCAAGTGACATAATGTATACAACTGTAGTGGTTATGGTGCCAGGAGTATACTGACTCTCTACCAGAGTAAGTATTCAATTGCATTTACTTTCATAACGCCAACATATTCTGAAACACTGTAGATAGACAAAACAAGACAATCCTTTTTAACAAAATATGTTTGACATAAGGGAACTGTAGGTGAAGACTACCCTGTCCAAATGAACTTACAATCTAAAAAAGGTTTTGACAACCGACCTTGGTCTCATCCGCTCAAATGAATTTTGCACTTTGCCAGTTACCACTGGAACAAATTATTTAAAACAATTCACATGCAAGACGTAATTTTAATTGTTATATTTACAGATGTAGACAAAATACACATGTTCAAGGTAGAATTACACTCAGCAAAGGTTGATTTAATATACCAATGAGAAAGCAAGTTATCTTCAATCTCAATAATTGACCAATGAGCAGTAGAATTAAAGAAAATCTAAATAAAAAAAATAAATAAAAAAACATTCCTTAGATCCTCTTTAAAAAGAGTGGATGATAAAGAAAAAAATACAATTAAAAAATACACCCCCAAACATGCATATAAAAAAACAACAAAAAAACAACAACAAATCAGAGTGCAAAGGAAATATAAGCTCTGCTATGGGTTTCTCAGTTGCAAATACTGAACCGAATAAAAACCATCTCTGTGGTATAACAGATAATAAACTTACATGAATGTTTGGCAATATTACAAAACTGATTTTATGTAAGAGCAGTTGGTATTTAATATTATTATTCTTTTCTAGAGTCTGTGTTATGAAGCCTGTGTCAGAAGCTTTGAAACTGGAAGGGTTAATGAACCTAAAAAATAGCAACACTCAAAGGCCATTTATTTTCAATTCAACAGATGGTGTTTAGCTAGCCATTACTTACAAGTATGCAGGCACTCTGTGACTGTTGTTGGTTTGATAAGATAGCCTTTGCAGATGTAGCATGTGATGTAAGGATTAAATTCTTTTACAAAGCGCCTCTTTTGGGTTGCCATTGACAGGATGCCTGAAGATTGAGTATTCCTGGACACAGACAGCTGACTGAATATGGATAGAAACTTAGGGAAACCGTAACATCACGTGGAGTTCTCACATTTTCCTCAACTTCCTCATTTTTGCCAAGCTGAATCTCTCAAACATGCTTCTCAATGCCATGGTTTTAATTGCAGTTACACCTGTGATGCATCTGACAAAAAAAGAAGAAGAAATTACAATGTATCTCATATATACAAAAGGAAGAAAAAGGGAATTGAGTGGCTATGGTAATGAAATATGATAGGACGTATGATAGGACATAGAGTGTCGATCAAAAACAAAAAACACAAATCAGCAGGTAACCATAGATTAAGGTGTAGGTTTTCAAGTAACAGGTAATTATATCAGTGACTACATTTTTATTTATTCCTACTGCATCCTAGCTTTTACTCACAGTATTTTTGGGCAGGTTAAAGAGGTACTCCAAGCACAATTACCATTATAGACAGTTGTTGTGGTTATGGAGCTAGCAGGCTTTGGGCACAATCACCCAGGTGTGTGTCAAACAGTTTTCCAGACGTTTTACATGAAACAAAGGGCAAAAGTTTCTCTCTAGTTTGGAAAAACAGCGCCTCAGAGGGAATATGATAACTTTATACGAATATATTCGGCAAGTGAAAAAAGATATAAAAAGGTAACTGAAAATGGGATGGATAATACATCTATAAAAGGGGTGGGGGAGAGGGCTGCGTCACAGATGAGCCACTAAATATAATTATAAATGAATAAAGGTATGTGAGTGCTCCAAATAGACAATCATCACTACTTGAAAATTGTACTCCAGAACAGCAACTGCTAAACAAAACTGATATAGATCTGATTGATCACTCTGGGATCATCTAGACTGATATAACATAATAATCAAATCAATCAAATGTAAAATTTACAGTACATTATTTATTAAATATGTAAAAGCAACAAAATCTGCATGGTATCGATGCAATAATAATAAATGTATCACACAAACAGCAACAATGTTGTCCCGAACAAAGTCAAGAAATACACAGCATGGGCCCCCTACACTGATGAGAAAATGTAGCAACTGGAACTGGAAGTGTTGACACAAAATAGAAAAAATAATGGATTATAATAAGAATATAAATTCAACGATGCCCAAACACATCCACTATCCCTGGGGGAGGGAGCTGTTAAACCCGCCAAACAACCAGGTCTAGGCTAAGGGTGTTGCTGTGAAAAATATCCCCGAGCTTAAGTTTGAAAAATTGGAAGTGCTTCAGATTAGATTTTTTTGCCTTCATTTGGATCAACAGAAAAACTTATGTGAGGATGGCTGAACCTGATGGACCAAGTCTCTTTTCAGCTATGTTACTATGTAACGATGTATACCTAGTAATCATGGAGTTATTCACAAAATACTTTTTCTATTTCAGTATGACTGTGCTCCAGTGCACAAAGTAAGGGTGAATGAAGATATGATTAGATGAGTTTGGTGTGGAAGAGCTTGACTGCCCTGACCTTCAACCCATCGAACACATTTGGGACGAACGGGAGCAAAGATTGTGATTTAGGCTCTCTCATTCAACATCAATGCTGGATACTGAATGAATAGGCAAAAAGTCCAACAGAAACATTCCAAAATCTTGTCGAAAGCCTTCCCAGAAGAGTTGAAGCTGCTATAGCTGGAAAGGGGGAACCAACTACATATTAATGTCGATGTATTTTGAATGCAATGCCATTAAAGTCCCTTGTTGGTGTAAGAGTCAGGTGTCCCAATACTTTTGTCTATATAGTGTATTTAGAGTTTCTCACACAGGCACTCTCATACACATTCAGAAACACACACTGTAATTACAAATGCATCCATCCAGCTTGCTTACTTTCAGTACTGTGATAGAATATGAACTCAGTCGAGTGGAGAAAGATTTGGAAGCAAGCCCTTGCTGACAGTTCTCAGTGTCTACTCCGATACATTGCACAGGTTCTAAGCATAGAGGCGAGATTTCAGATGCCCCATTTACAATGTATAAAAGTGCTCATTTCTCAGACTGCCATAAGATCCCTGATGTCCCCAGCACTGCAAGGCACTAGGGTAGGGTTAATGCATCTGCTAGGGCTTTGTGGAGGCACCCCCTCATGACTGTATCTTGCAAATTGCAAAGGTCACACATCCCTCAGGTCAGAAGACTGTGTACACACATCTGCTACATGCGTTTTGTCAACCAGTAAGAAAATATTTTCACTTTTATGGTTTCTTGATATGGTAAACAAGTGACAGAATCAAATAAATAGAAAATATGCTCAATGATAGTCTGTTTGGAATATAAATATTAAACAAGTAAACTCTCACAGCATATTGTGCACACAATAATCTGAAGACTCGCCAGCAAATTGCAAATCAGGATCACAGAAGCAAGGAATGTCACACATAACATAGCTGCATGTAGACAGACGGCATACTAGTGGCATTGCAGGCAGGCTCACTATAAACTAGTAGCATTGCAGGTAATAACTAGGCTCATGATATACTAGTGTCATTGCAGGTAATAACTAGGCTCACTATATACCAGTGGCATTGCAGGTAATAACTAGGCTCACTATATACTAGTGGCATTGTAGGTAATAACTAGGCTCACTATATACTAGTGGCATTGTAGGTAATAACTAGGCTCACTATATACTAGAGGCATTGTAGGTAATAACTAGGCTCACTATATACTAGAGGCATCGCAGGTAATAACTAGGCTCACTATATACTAGAGGCATCGCAGGTAATAACTAGGCTCACTATATACTAGTGGCATTGTAGGTAATATCTAGGCTCACTATATACTAGTGGCATTGTAGGTAATAACTAGGCTCACTATATACTAGTGGCATTGTAGGTAATATCTAGGCTCACTATATACTAGTGGCATTGCAGGCAGGCTCACTATATACTAGTGGCGTTGCAGGCTCACTATATACTAGTGGCGTTGCAGGCAGGCTCACTATATACTAGTGGCGTTGCAGGCGGGCTCACTATATACTAGTGGCGTTGCAGGCTCACTATATACTAGTGGCATTGCAGGCAGGCTCACTATATACTAGTGGCATTGCAGGCAGGCTCACTATATACTAGTGGCGTTGCAGGCAGGCTCACTATATATTAGTGGCGTTGCAGGCTCACTATATACTAGTGGCGTTGTAGGCTCACTATATACTAGTGGCGTTGCAGGCAGGCTCACTATATACTAGTGGCGTTGCAGGCAGGCTCACTATATACTAGTGGCGTTGCAGGTTCACTATATACTAGTGGCATTGCAGGCAGTCTCACTATATACTAGTGGCGTTGCAGGCAGGCTCACTATATACTAGTGGCGTTGCAGGCAGGCTCACTATATACTAGTGGCATTGCAGGCAGGCTCACTATATACTAGTGGCGTTGCAGGCAGGCTCACTATATACTAGTGGCGTTGCAGGCAGGCTCACTATATACTAGTGGCGTTGCAGGTTCACTATATACTAGTGGCATTGCAGGCAGTCTCACTATATACTAGTGGCGTTGCAGGCTCACTATATACTAGTGGCGTTGCAGGCTCACTATATACTAGTGGCATTGCAGGCAGGCTCACTATATACTAGTGGCGTTGCAGGCAGGCTCACTATATACTAGTGGCGTTGCAGGCTCACTATATACTAGTGGTATTGCAGGTAGGCTCACTATATACTAGTGGCGTTGCAGGCAGGCTCCCTATATACTAGTGGCGTTGCAGGCAGGCTCACTATATACTAGTGGCGTTGCAGGCGGGCTCACTATATACTAGTGGCGTTGCAGGCGGGCTCCCTATATACTAGTGGCGTTGCAGGCAGGCTCACTATATACTAGTGGCGTTGCAGGCTCACTATATACTAGTGGTATTGCAGGCAGGCTCACTATATACTAGTGGCGTTGCAGGCAGGCTCACTATATACTAGTGGCGTTGCAGGCAGGCTCACTATATACTAGTGGCGTTGCAGGCAGGCTCACACTATATACTAATGAGTGGCGTTGCAGGCATTTCACTATATACTAGATGAAGCGTTGGCTCACTATATACTAGTGGCATTGCAGGCAGGCTCACTATATACTAGTGGCGTTGCAGGCTCACTATATACTAGTGGCGTTGCAGGCAGGCTCACTATATACTAGTGGCGTTGCAGGCGGGCTCACTATATACTAGTGGCGTTGCAGGCTCACTATATACTAGTGGCATTGCAGGCAGGCTCACTATATACTATATACTAGTGGCATTGCAGGCAGGCTCACTATATACTAGTGGCGTTGCAGGCTCACTATATACTAGTGGCGTTGCAGGCAGGCTCACTATATACTAGTGGCGTTGCAGGCAGGCTCACTATATACTAGTGGCGTTGCAGGCAGGCTCACTATATACTAGTGGCGTTGCAGGCAGGCTCACTATATACTAGTGGCGTTGCAGGCAGGCTCACTATATACTAGTGGCGTTGCAGGCGGGCTCACTATATACTAGTGGCGTTGCAGGCAGGCTCACTATATACTAGTGGCATTGCAGGCAGGCTCACTATATACTAGTGGCGTTGCAGGCAGGCTCACTATATACTAGTGGCGTTGCAGGCAGGCTCACTATATACTAGTGGCGTTGCAGGCGGGCTCACTATATACTAGTGGCGTTGCAGGCGGGCTCACTATATACTAGTGGCATTGCAGGCAGGCTCACTATATACTAGTGGCATTGCAGGCAGGCTCACTATATACTAGTGGCGTTGCAGGCAGGCTCACTATATACGTTGCAGTGGGCGTTGTAGGCTCACTATATACTAGTGGCGTTGCAGGCAGGCTCACTATATACTAGTGGCGTTGCAGGCAGGCTCACTATATACTAGTGGCGTTGCAGGCAGGCTCAGTAGCTGCTTGCTCAGTAAAGTTACGGTGAGGCTCCCTTTATAATGTCACTTCCTGTCACTTTAATGCAGGTAATTCCAGCTGTGGAGCCCTTACCAGCTCCATACTCTGCCACTGTTGGCAATATGACAGGTGAGGGCTGCTAGCTGCCAGTCCCCCCCGCCCTCCCCTCACTCAGTGCAGGTGACATGCCCGGGGAGGGAGGGGGTATCTGGGGACAGTGTGTGACCCCCTCATGCTCACCATGACGCGCAGTGCTGCTGGTGGGGAGGGGGCGTGGCTGTCTCCTGTCCTCTCACTCCGGCCGCTGACGGACAAGGTGTGCCGGGGGGGTGTGTGTGTGATGGTTCCCCCCCCTCTCCTGGAAGGTGGGCGGGCAGCTCCCGTGAGGGCAAGTGGTGGCGCGAGCTCCTCTTCTCCCCCCCTGACGCACGCACGCGGGCCCCGTCACCTGTCAGTCAGAGTGCCTCTGTCAGGCTGCTCGCGCTTCCGAGAAGGGGAGGGGAGGGGAGGGGGGGAGTGAGTATAAAAGGGGCGGGAGCCCGGCACTTCCCGGCAGTCACACGGCGCGTCTCCCTGTCAGCGCGGTTTGCTGTCACAGCCCGGCAATACAAACCCCCTCTCTCCTCCCCTCCCCCCCCCATCATGGACAGGACAGGATCGGCCCTACCCGCTGCCAGCGATATCCTGGGTGTAGGAGATACCATAGTGCCCCCATACTGCCACTGTGTGCTGCCAATGGGGGGACATGGCAAGGGAGAGAGAGAACCTGGGAACTGGGATTCTGAAAGAGAAGGGGCACACTGAGCATGTGGGGAGGGGGGATTCACTAAACTTCACATTGTAGTGAATTCAAATTATTTAGACTAAAATAACCAATCTGTAACTGAAAAGTTAAACTTTTAGGACAAAATAGAAAATTTGGCTGGCACTGCTTAAAATTTGTGTTTTACTTTAAAAGGGACACTACAGTCACCACGACAACTTTAGCTTAATGTAGCAGTTTTGGTGTATAGAACATGCCTCTGCAGCCTCACTGCTCAATCCTCTGCCATTTAGGAGTTAAATCCCTTTGTTTATGAACCCTAGTCACACCTCCCTGCATGTGACTTGCACAGCCTTCCATAAACCCTTCCTGTAAAGAGTCATCTAAAGTTTATCCTCTCTTTATTGCAAGTTCTGTTTAATTTAGATGTTCTTAATAGCTTGCTAAACCCTGCAAGAGCCTCCTGTATGTGATTCAAATTCAAGTTACAGAGCAAGAGATAAAATCGTTTAAGGTAAATTACATCTCATTGAAAGTGAAACCAGTTTTTTTTTTTTTTTTCATGCAGGCTGTGTCAATCAGACTCAAGGGAGGTGTGGCAAGGGCTGCATCATTTAACTCCTAAATGGCAGTGAATTGAGCAGTAAAACCTGAGAGGCATGATCTATACACTAAAACTGCATCAGTAAGCTAAAGTTGTGAGCCTAACTAGTATATAGTAAGCCTGCAATACCACTAGTATATGGTGAGCCTGCCTGCAATGCCACTAGACTACAGTGTTCCTTTAAATAACCATAAGTTCGTGACTTCAGTGAATAGCCCCACAATTTTTTGTTTCCTTCCATCATTTAGTCTCAGCTTGAAAAAACACTAAAATATGGCTAGCATACCTCACTACAGCCCCACATGGTGCAGTTCTGAACTTAAGTGCTCTCTATACTTCATTCCTTGTAGGAACATCAAAAATTCCTATGAAGTGCAGTCATTAGACTTGCTTGCACTTCAAGAGTGCTATCCACAGCTACCTTAACACATGGGCACATTGGACCGGGGATCAGACGAGCATAGGGGCTCTATAGGCTTTCATTCATGTGTATTGAAGATTATGTCCTGTAGACCAGTGCTCCTCAACCCTCTCCATAAACCACACCTAACAGTCCAGAATTTAGGGATTAACTGGATGTAGCTACAGTGTTTGAAAAAAGAAAAAAAAATACCTTACACTCAACTTTTTGTATTTTTTTTTTTATCTAAACACTTTAGACATCCCGGTAATCCCTAAATCCTGGACTGTTAGGTGTGCCTTGAAGAGAGGGTTGAGGAGCGCTGCTGTAGACCACTGACTTAAAACCAATTATAAAGCAGTTTGCAAATGTTTGTGTTGAACACTAGATTAATAAATAATTCATAGTAATATTTTACTGTGCAATCTCAGTCTGTATGATTTACCAACTGAGTACCATTTTTTTTATGTTGAATTTCTTGGTTTTCAGCTTCAAAGCTTATGTTATACTGTCCAAATGTGTGTGTGGATTAATCTCTGCTGTACAGAATGTTTTTTGTTTTTTGTTTAACCACTGATTTTGTTGGCCGTATCAATAAATATTAGCTTAATTTTATTGATAATTAAAACATTTATTCCTGTGAGTGGTTGTGTAGGCAGGTCCCCAGTGCACTGCTTTGCCCAGGTGCCTATGATGCGGCTAAGATGGCCCTGTGCTATCTAGGGATTGAGCTTTGGAAGCACCCTGTCCATGGGCAACCATTAGGTGGGGGGGCCAGAGATGCTGACTTAGTCGGGGCTGTGAGGTTAAGGACAGCATGGGATAGGATTAGTTATGGTTGGAAGATGCTGGTCAACACTATGACACTTAACCAAGTAGGGTCTTTTGTGAAGCAAGATGCCAAAGAGGCATGGTATTATTTGACTCTATAAGTTCTCTAAAAACTTGGTGTACATGTGGAGTTATACTCTTCTTGAAGGAATGCAGCAGAATACAAACCTGGTATAGTTGAACGGGACACAAAAATATGATCTGTTTGATCCTGATGATATAGACTCAGTAAAACATTAAAAATTGCAACTCTGTACACTTAAATTGTTTATAGGGTGACCTTACAAGGTCTCAAAAATCTGGCTATGGATTGTACCCTGGGGCTGTCAGACACGCAAGGTCTGTAAAATTCCCCATAATAATAAAATAGATTTAAAAAAAAAAATTAAAAAAAAACAATCTTTGGAGGAAGATTAACCCCTTCCCGACTGCAGATGGAAATTTTCCGTCAACCTTGTCCTTCAGTTAAGGACCGTTGACGGAACATTTCCATCATTTACTAAAGTTAACCCCAGATCGCCGCGATCGCGGGGTTAACGGTGCTCCGGTCTGTCTCTGCATTAGAGGCAGACCAGGAGCACCGGATCGCGCTGCCCCAGCACCGCTGCTCGCTCTGACAGGCTGTTAGTATTATACTGTAATCTAATTTAAAAAATGCTTATTACCACTACACTTGGTACAAGCTAGTGGAAAAATGATCCCACGCTAAGGTTCAAAATAGGCCTTTTGAATTGCCCTGTCTTCTTTAAGAAATGGTATGCCTTTAAGAGGTAATTGGATTATATAGCCTGGTAAAATTCTCTAAAATGGGACATGGGCACAGTGTAAAAATGTAAAGTTTGAAAAGAACTGGAATGACTGTGTCCCAAATGTGCTCCTTCAATGTCCACATATACCTGGCAAAGGTACATAAGGGGGTATTGCTGTACTCAGCCGACATAGCTGAGCAACATATGAAGTATTATACAGTCGTAGCACACATACGATTTGCAAAATATACTGTGCAAACTCACTTTGTGTGTCAAAAAGGCGGGGAAAAAACCCGCTTATTACCACTACACTTGGTACAAGCTAGCGGAAAAATTATCCCACGCTAAGGTTCAAAATATGCCTTTTGAAATACCCTGGGATGTGTTCTTTAAGAAATGGTATACCTTTATGGTGTAGTTGTAATATGTAGCCTGCTCAAGTGCTTCAAAGTGGGACACGGACGCATCAAAACCCTCCATGAAAATTCACACTTAAAAACCTTAACTTGTCACGTCTCTTTTACAGCAGTGTAACTTCAGAAAATAGTGTCTAGGTCATACATTGGGCATATTGTTTTACTCATAAGACTTAGCTGAGCATAATTTGGGGGGTTTGAACTTAGTGGCACATACGAAATGTACAAAATGCCCAGCAAAAATGTAATCCGTATTTAAAAAATGCCCAAAATTATTTTTTACCACATACTTTGGCATATATTGGTGAAAAAATGGGGGCATGTTAAGGCACGATATGCACCATATGAGATACCCTGGAGTGTCTACTTTTACAAATGGTAGGCCTTTTGTTGGGTTTTTTTGAACAGTCAAACTGCTATAATACCCCAAATTGAAGCATAGGCCCATTAAACCCGCCTCTCAAAATTCTACAGTAAATGTTGAAACGGACAGGTCTCCTCTATGGCACTGTAGCTTCACGAAATAGTGCCAAAGACACACAATGGGGTTATCGTTGTACTCAGCAGAAGTAACTGAACACAAAATAAAACTTTGTACAGATATAGCACACACCAACTTTACAAAATACACATGAGAAGTTCTTTGTTATAAATTAAACAAAGTGAAAGCCTAATGTAGGAATAAAGTACATAGGTAGTGAAGGGGTTAACCCTAAATGTAAGTATTGTTAGAAAAAAGGAGAGAAAACACTACCTAAGAACATATATAGTTTAAAATTTAACTTTTAATAGTGAACGGAATATAGAGTGATAATTTCACATATTAAATCTTGATAAGTCTGTATATATAAGTACACCCAGATATATAAGAATAATATGAAAAAATAAGATTATTTTTTCATATTATTCTTATATATCTGGGTGTACTTATATATACAGACTTATCAAGATTTAATATGTGAAATTATCACTCTATATTCCGTTCACTATTAAAAGTTAAATTTTAAACTATATATGTTCTTAGGTAGTGTTTTCTCTCCTTTTTTCTAACAGTTCTTTGTTATAAGTTTGTGTGCCAAAAACCCCCAAAAACTAAATTTTACTCCAATATTTAGCAGAGATTGTCGGTGAAATCGCTACGTAGAAAGTGTCGAAACAACCTTAGGACAATAGCCTGTGATGTCTACTTTATATAAATATATACTTCTGTGTGGCAATTTTGTTTTCTTTTTTGGCTATTAAGCTTACAAGACAAACATACCAAATTCTAAAATCGCTCCACATTAAAAGTTTATTTTACTCCTTGTGCTTTGTGACCTGTAACTACCAAAAAAAACTTAAAATCCAAGACACATTATATATTCTGTAAATCAGAACAACTAAATAAATTTATTTTTAATTACTTTTCTTAACCTGCACTAATTATGCACACATTATTATTGCAAAAACTGTAAAAAAAACCCCACAAAATTTCTCTTTTTTTTTTGCATTTTTCTGTATTTCTGTATTTTTTTCATAATAAATAAGCATATATATATATATATATATATATATATATATATATATATATATATATATATTACATCAAATTAAAGCCCTTTCTGTCCTTTAAAAAACAGTATATAATATGTGTCGGTGCAATAAACGAGAGAGATGCAAATTGCAGTTGAACGCATACAGCAAAAAGTGCTTGTGTCATTAAGCGTAAGACAAGCTTCTTAAGAGGTTAATAAGATAAGTAAAACTAAATAAACATAGGTAATGTGTCCAATTGCTCTTAATTAAACACAGTGGATGGTGCAAATATATATCCTTCTGTATAGTGATGTGCCGAACGGTTCACCGCGAACGGTTCGCCATGGACTCATCATTGAGTAAACTTTGACCCTGTACCTCACAGTCAGCAGACACATTCCAGCCAATCAGCAGCAGACCCTCCCTCCCAGACTCTCCCACCTCCTGGACAGCTCACTAAGAATGCAGCTTCACAATGGATGCTGTCCAGGAGGTGGGAGGGTCTGGGAGGGAGGGTCTGCTGCTGATTGGCTGGAATGTGTCTGCTGACTGTGAGGTACAGGGTCAAAGTTTACTCAATGATGAGTCCGTGGCGAAACATTCGGGACATCACTACTTCTGTACAATAAATAAATGGTAACGTGCTTATAAAGTTTGTTGGTACAGATAGATAGGAAACAAAAGAGCCAAGCTAGGGACATCTCTTCCAGGCCAAAGATGAGATAATTTCAAGAACAAAAGGAAGTTGCGCCACAACAGTCCAGAGAGGATATGAAAAACACAAAGGAAACAGTCCAATATAAAAATATCTTCATAACTTTTATACGTTTTAAATTGTTTTTTTTAAAATTTCTCTACTTACAGTGAATTTTCTTCGGCATATAAATGTTGAGGATGTCTGTAAGAACCACCATTCCACAGATGAGATTATTCCACTTCATGCTATCACAGCAGAGCTGTGTAAGGCTCTATAATATGGGAGTGTGTCATTATCGTATACTGGCAATTGCTTACTAAGAACCTACTACACTATAAAGCATCCTATCTTTTCTGTTTGTTTCCATTACATATCCTAATTATACTGCTCAAATATATACTCAAGCTAATTTTTAATTCTGGAAAATGTTAAAGGGACACTCCAGGCACCCAGACCACTTCTGCCCATTTGAGTGGTCTGGGTGCCAAATCCCACTACCCTTAACCCTGCAATTGTAAATATTGCAGTTTTCATAAACTGCAATATTTACATTGCAGGGTTAACTCCTCCTCTAGTGGCTGTCTATTAGACAGCCACTAGAGGGCACTTCCGGGTTTATAGCACAGGTTCCGTGTGCTATAGCATCGCTGGACGTCGTCACACTATGTGAGGACCTCCAACGTCTCTGAAATCCCCATAGGAAAGCATTGAAAGTATTTTTCAATGCTTTCCTATGGGGGCGTTTAATGTGAGTTGCGCGGCATTGCTGCGCATGCGCATTAGGTCTCCCCAGCTGAGCACGCGCAATAGGTCTCCTCCGCCGGATGATGTTGGCGGGGGGGGAGCGTGGGCGTTCCCTGAACCAGCACCGAGGGACATCGGCACTGGATACAGGTAAGTCACTGAGGGGGTTTTAACCCCTTCAGCAACTTGGGATGGGGGGTGCGAGGGAGAGGGGACCTGCTGTGCCAGGAAAACAGTTTGTTTTCTTGGCACTGGAGAGTCCCTTTAAGTGCATTGGTTTATTCTTTCCATTTATCTTTATAGCAGACCTATATTATTGGACTGTTTCCTTTCTTTTTCTAAAATATATCCTTTTATGTAGCATTCTTAGATTTGGTGACCTCTATTACACACAGTGGGAAAAAATACACCTAGCAAAAGTGCCAAAACAGCTGAAGTTACAAATTTAAAAAAATAAAAATCAGACACTAAAGGGTTAAACATGTTTCATCCGTGTTTCTTTTTCACTGAAACTAAAAATTGGGGGGGATTTTCCAGTGGATTTAAAATTTTAGACCAAAATAGCCAACATGGAAGTTTATCAAAGTTGTGGATTTTTTAAATGTTTTCTTTCTAATTCAGCACTTTTGGTCTAAATTGTGAAATTCCCAACAATTTCCAGGTTTAGTAAATAACTCGGTGAGACTTGCCCTGAATAGCACCCTATCACCAGTCACTGCAAACAGAATATTTCATCAAATGTCAAGATCGAATAAAAATACAAGTACAAATACTTTTAAAAAATATATATTTTTAAAAATAAAATGCGGTATTTCCTAAAGTTACTATATAACATACTCTATAATGCCTTATAAATCTTTTTTTTTTTTAAAATGATTTAAAAATCTTTATTTTACACATTTCACATAGGATGCCCATCAAAACATAAGTATCTCCATCACACAAAAAAAATAAACAAAATCACTATTTAATAGATATTCTCCCAATGAAAACAAGCATGCATTTAATCATTCATATTTTTCTAATTGGGTGTACATCTAAAACAGTTTGGAAAAGCTGCAGGTCTCTTGTCTGCAGCATTGGCAAGTCATTGAGCTGCTTTGGGTAGTCTGTGATTGGACAACCACATAAAGTCTAGGCTGAGCATGAAAGGGAGAGGTCTTTGCAAGGCAGGTGCTCTGTGTGATTGCTGCCTCTTGAGTCTAGAACAGGGGTAGGCAACCAATGGCACTTGAGGTGCCTTTGTATGACACTCAAGGCTGCTAGAGCCAAACAGGCTCTGGCCTATCAGGAGTCCCAGTGAAAGTTCAGATATCTGCTAATACGAAAAGATGGTGAAGGACAATACTCAATTTGTGCATTGCAGCACATAGAGGAAGTGAGCTCAGATCACTTCCTCCCAGCACACAGTAGTACAGTAGCCCGTAGCTGCTGTTGCAGCTCCTTTCCTTGAGCTGTACCTGGCCAGCCTGGTCCCCACTGGAACACAGGAAAGCCACCCACAGTGCCAGATATACACAGAGCTGCAGGATAACCCTCTCATCATATAAATAATACGAACAGCCCACACACAAACACAAAACGTAATCTGCACAAACTCAACACCACTGACAATCCACATACATGCACACAACCCCACATGCAGCCTCTCACATGCAATTCCCCAAACTGCCCCACACATACACACCACCAAATACACAATGTGACATATCCATCCACACACACAATTCCACAAGCAGGCCTCATACACAGCCCACTTTCATAGGTACACAATACCACAAACCACTCATGAACATATACAATATAATAGCTCAAATACAACGACACAAGGCAACTGCGGTATAAAAAACACAAGCAGAATACAGCAACATGCACACCTCAATTTGAAAAAATAGGAGCGGCACGCTACGGCACATCACAATCTTATTTCGGCACAGTGCTGCTAAAAGGTTGCCTACCCCTGGCCTAGGTCCACTGAGCTAAACTACCAGGAAGGAACAGGCAGACTTGTGCAGAAATCCCTGTCAGGCATACTGATCAAATCAAATGTCTGTCAATCAATGGACGAGCAAATCGATTAGTTAGGTTTCTAAGAACAAATCGATTAGTTTGGCCATAGATTAAGTGGCATTTATTTTGTTCAGCTGAAAGGAATTTGTGCACAATTCTAGTAACAGAACCGGTTGACTGACTGACAACCAGGAGGGGGTAACAAGGCTAAATTCTGCACTGATTGAAAAATAAAAAGAAGACACACTTCAAAAATAAAGATTTAAAAATAGTGGTTTAGTTGTTGGAGTGTTTTTTTTAAAGGACTCCAAATAACCTATGCTGGTGTTTAATGTTCTGCTTATTTTGCATTTGCAGATCTTTACAGTCTTGCATTCTCTAAATGAGTGGAACATTGCAGTTTTGCTAGCCAATGTATAGTTTGGGGAAAAAAATTTCTAAAAATAGGTATTGCTCCAACTTCTCAGTCAAAACTTTGGCATAGACTCAGTGCTGACAATTTGACTGATAAGGGAGAGCAGACGTTGTTAGCGCGCAGTTCAGATGCCAGAATGATAGCGAGGAGGGTTTCCCTGTTTAGGGTACTGTCTCCAAGCAAGGCAAATCACAAAAGACAGCAAGAGAATCAGAGGCCGACAAGTGGTGGGTTTTACAAGAGTAACACCAACGAAACTCAGATTTTTGATGTTGGAACGAAAGTGAAATGAGTATACCTCGATATTTTACACTGAATACATCATTTTAGAAGCGATTTAAGGCAAATCGTTTTTTTTCCTTAAGAGGTTCACTTTAATTTGCATATATTTTATAACAAGACATCAACAAGTGAATACTGTAAATTGTATTTAAGTTAATTATTATAAACCCATTTGGGCAGGACCATCACCACCTCTTGTTCTTATGTGTCGATCTTATGTGTATGTCTCATGAAGCCATTGTGCAGCACTGCAGAAAATATTGTCAATTTTGTAAAATAAAAATAAAAAATATTGATACGAAAAGAATACATTTTGTCCACACGCTAACTGCAGTTTATTTTTCTATTCCTTTTTTTAAATTTCAAATGAAGACCAGAACTTTTCAGCACTGTGATTCTTTAATAATTTTATTTCCTTTATTAGGTTTTCCTTTAATAACTGGACTGCCAGCTAACAAAAATAAATCTGGAAAAAGCGGAGTAGAAAAAAATATATTTTAACTTTTCACAATAAGATTTAATTTTCCATTTTCTTTGCCATCTTCTTTTATAATATGACAAATGGGACATAACCCAACAATCTGAAATGATGCATATAAAAAAACAGAGAATTCCAGTTTCTGAATAGAAATTAATATTACTGTAATAATAATGTGCTGCAATTTTCAAAAACATTGCTGTCAAGATGCCATTAAATCATTATTCTCTGAGAATTGTTAGAAATGTAAAGTGAATTTCAACTTTAAGGTCAAAATAGCTGGATTGAAAATATTCTGGCTATTTTGGTCTAAAATTTGAAATTCACTTTGAATTCAGTTTCAGACAATTCTAACTTTAGGGAATAATCCTGTCTGTCTCGGATAAAACGGATATTAGTATTATACTTAGAGATAACGGGTTAAAGGAATCCTATAGTGCCAGGAAAACAAACCCGTTTTCCTGCCACTATAGGCTCTTGGAGTGCCCCCCTCCCTCGGCGCTGAAGGGGTTAAAACCCCTTCAGCCACTTACCTTAAGCCAGTGCTGGTGACCTCTCCTCCCCCACCGACGTGGGCTCCCACGTGGAGCCGAATGTGCATGCGCGGCCAGAGGTGTGCACGCATTCAAACCCGCCCATAGGAACGCATTACTCAATGCTTTCCTATGGGGATCTTATTTGATGCTGGACTCCATGAGGACGTCCAGCGTCAAATAAGTGTGATTTACTGTAAATCGCGGAAAATCGCGGAAGCGGCCTCTAATGGCTGTCAGGGAGACAGCCAGACAGCCACTAGAGGCTGGATTAACCATGCAGTGTAAACATAGCAGTTTCTCTGTTTTCTATAGGCACCCAGACCACTTCAGCTCAATGAAGTGGTCTGGGTGCCAGGTTCTACTTAGTTTTAACCCTGCAGCTGAAAACATAGCATGCTATGTTTACACTGCAGGGTTAATCCAGCCTCCCTAGCTGTCTAGCAGTAGAAAGAGGAAAGTGCTCATGCCATTGTACAGAAAACTGATGAAACCTCACTTGGAGTATTGTACACAGTACTGGAGACCGTATCTTCAGAAGGATATTGATACTTTAGAGAGAGTTCAGAGAAGGACTACTAAACTGGTTCATGGATTGCAGGATAAAACTTACCAGGAAAGGTTAAAGGATCTTAACATGTATAGCTTGGACTTGGAGGAAAGACGAGACGAGACGGGGGGGGGGATATGATAGAAACATTTACATACATAAAGCAGGCTTCCCTAAACTCCGGCCTGCCAGGTGTTGCTGAACTACAACTCCCATGATTCTATGAATGAAATAGATAGGCTTGGAGTCATGGGAGTTGTAGTTCAGCAACATCTAGAGGGCCGGAGTTTGGGGAAACCTGACATAAAGGGGCAGTAAAGGAGGAGAGTATATTTAAAAGAAGAAAAACTACCACAACAAGAGGATATAGTCTTAAATTAGAGGGGCAAAGGTTTAAAAATAATATCAGGAAGTATTACTTTACTGAGAGGGTAGTGGATGCATGGAATAGCCTTCCAGCTGAAGTGGTAGAGGTTAACACAGTGAGGGAGTTTAAGCACACATGGGATAGGCATAAGGCTATCCTAACTATAAGATAAGGCCAGGGACACATTAACCCCTTAAGGACACATGACATGTGTGACATGTCATGATTCCCTTTTATTCCAGAAGTTTGGTCCTTAAGGGGTTAAAGTACTTAGAAAATGGGGCAGACTTGATGGGCCGAATGGTTCTTATATGCTGTTACATTCTATGTTCTGACATTGAAAACACCATTTCACCACACAACCCATAAATTAAATTATATAGAAGAATGTATGCACTGAAAAAAACAAAAAACTAAAAACTAAACAGTGTGCATTATCTTGAAACTAAGAATTCGTCTGAATCTTAATTAGCCAGAGGCAATGTCAGAGTGCAGCTATATTTATTTTTCAGAAAACTAAAAGAGAACACATCTTTTTCATTTGCATTCATCACTTTATGACATCAATTTAAATATAAAGTGACCAGTGAACACAACAATCAGGCCAAATGCCTCTGTGAGTTAAACTGCAATACAGCTCTGCTAGCTTGCCTTAAGATTATTTTGCTTACATTTGGGGTACAAAAAGAGATTATGTTTAGAACATATAGGATAATAAACTTTTTCAAACAAACAAATACGGTGTATTTTGTAAATAATAACATTGAGATTTAAAGAACTTGGAACATCATTTCTAGCAGGCTAAGTAAGGGTATACTTTTAAAACCAGATAAGTGTTAAATGAAAAGGTTCCACAAGGTTCCTTGTCGTTGTCTCCCTACACAGCTTTATATATAAGTGCAAAATTATATTATGTTTGATATAAGCCACTCCCCTCAGCAGGCCTGGACTGGTCATCGGGCATACCGGGCCAATGCTCAGATTGTGCAAGAGTGAACTCTAGCCCTACAGGCTATAGTTCATTCCCCTCTAAGACCACCAGAGATGGCCATTGCAGTACGCCCCCCTCCCACCCCCCCTCTCCCGCCCCTCCCAGGCTAAAGGTAAGAAGTGAGGAGGGGATATAACATTTTTGTTTTTTAAATAAAAAAAAATGTATACGTATTTAAATAAACATTCACACACACACACACACACACACAGACACATACACAGCACACACACACACACACAGCACCCTCACACACACACATGATGTTCTTCAACATATAACACCTATTACTTGTTACATTATTATTATTATCATTATGATATTTATAGAGCGCCGTCAAATTCCGCAGCGCTTTACAATGGGTGGACGAACAGACATGTAGTTGTAACCAGACAAGTTGGACACACAGGAACAGAGGGGTTGAGGGCCCTGCTCAATGAGCTTACATGCTAGAGGGAGTGGGGTAAAATGACACAAAAAGGTAAGGCTAGTATTAGACTAGTGACAGTTCCATGATATTATACAGCTCTTTATTGTCTAGGAGAATATTCACTAAGCATTGAATATAGATAAAATATATTATTGCAAATAGCTGACATGTTAACCAGTTTTAAACAGACTGAACATCCTGTCATCTGTATCTTAAGCCCTGGGTAAATATAGGCAAAGTGTATTATTCCCAACACCCACATATATAATATATAAAATATCCCTCAGTGAGTTAACAGACAAAGAAAATTTGAAACATAGAATGTGACGGCAGATAAGAACACCCTCACACACACACTGCACCCCTCTTACACATGCTGCACCCTTCACACATACACACAGCACACCCAACACACTGTACCCCTCACACATACAATATGTCCAAACATATATATATATATATATATATATATATATATATATATATAAAAAGAGAAAAATTGCTCTTGCACTCACGCTTTAAAGTGCTGGCATACCATGGCTAGTAGTATCCATCTTTGCAAACAGGTATCAGCACTCTCGGGTTATAAAAGTCCAAAATGTATTAGTTCAAGGTGAAAAAACGCTCAACGTTTCAGCCCTGCACAGAGGACTTTCATCAGGATCAAAATGATCCTGATGAAAGTCCTCTGTGCAGGACTGAAACGTTGAGCGTTTTTTCACCTTGAACTAATTCATTTTGGACTTTTAAAACCCGAGAGTGCTGATACCTGTTTGCAAAGAGATATATATATATATACACACACACACACTACAGAACCCCTCACACTGCACCACTACTCACATTACACTTCAGATACACGCTAGATCCCTTACCCTATATACACTCTGAATCCTCTACACACACACAATCTCCTATACACAATCTGGGTCCTTATCACACTAGATCCCCTACACACACTACATTCCTGACATACAAACTCTGGATCCCCTATGCACACACTGCCTTCCTTGTAAGCAAACACATACAACATTCTCTACACACACACTCACACTACGTCACCTATATACACACACACCCACTACAGCCCATATGCACACACTCGCTACATCCCCTATACACACTATGCCCCCTATACACACATTCTCTACAGCCTCTATACACACACTCTCTACAGTCCATAGCCACACATTACACCACAAACACAAATTAAATCGATCTATTTACACAATACCACACCACAATCCGCTCACTCTACACACACGCCATCCCACAAGCAGGCTCCAAACACATACACAATACGCTTTCCTGGCCCTTTTGTCCTCTGGTATCCCACTTATGGAGATACCAGAGACAAGTTAAAAGAAAACACAGCACAAGCTGTTGTTACATTTGCTTGCACTGCGCAGAACAAACACAGGGCCCTTTTCTCATGCTAGAGCTCTTCAGCGGGGCTCTGCGCATTGAACCAACGTGCTCACTTTGAGAGGGTCGTGCTTGTCATTAGTGATGACAAAACCTACCCTCTCTGGCCCCGCCCCCTTCTCAGGGGGCCGCTGTGATTGAAAAATGCCCGGGCCAAATTTTTTTCCCAGTCAGGCCCTTTCCCTTATTGATGGCAGTTATAGCTCTTCCTCTGTCCTTCTAAAAATGTGTATGGTGTGCACTTGCTATACAAATCCCCAACTCCTCTGACTGACTCCTACACAGCTTACTCCAGCTGTCAGTTTAGGCAGCAATCCTATTTAATTCATATGATGAATGGAATTACTGCCAAGTGCTCCACTATATATCTCATAAACCAAATGCTCAGTTTCAATGAAAATAATAGTAACATACTGATTGGTTAAGTCATTTCCTGGTCTGAGATCACTGTAAATCCTGTAAAGCTTGGGAATTAGCAACAAATGCAATAAGGTCAAAAGTGAGTATATGGTTTATTTACTTAATTGTTTTGCATTATGTTATCTAAATAAGATAAGCATGAAAAAAATTATAGACTCATATCCAGACTGAAGTGTCCCTTTAAATCTAATATTAACTTAGATTTCGTGTCAGTGCCCTGTGGTTAAATACCATACTTACCAAACAGTGACAGTTGTCAAGCCAGAATGGAAGGGTTTGTGTCACAGGTGACGTGAGCTGTAGAATGAGATGATGAGTCAGAGCTGCCCACATTCTGTCCACTGCTAATAGTTTCTCATTTAGAATGAGATAAAATATTCTCATAAAAAAAAAAAAAAGACTAGTGTACAAGCATAGTTAATAACATGCATACACTGAACATTACAGAAGGCACATGGTATCCGACAGCCACAACCAGGGTCACTTTTACTACCTGCAGTGCCCTTGGCGAGATTATTGTACAGGCCCCCCTCATGGACAAGAAAACACAAATATATTTAACTACTCGTGAATAACTTACTGCACACATTAACCTTGTTAGCAACACACATACAAGGGCGCAAACTAGCATGCATACAAAGACAAACACTGGCACAAATACGTATAGACTCTATAGACATAAAGGGCTATTTACTGACGTCAGAATTCAAAGTGAATTTCACATTTAAAGCCAGAGTAGCTGAACTCAAAGCATTCCGGATTTATAAAATTATTATTTAAATTCACCTTGAATTCTCCCTTCAGTGAATAACCCTGTGTGACACACTAGCATTCATACACATACTAATGTCCATGCATTAATTAAAACTATCTTCTACCAAACCTCATAGTCATAACCTTCCACAGCCTTATAGAAATATTCTTTAACTTGATCAAAAACAGCTGTAGAGATCTCTAATCTCACCTGTCTGCGATCTCAGCTATTACCGGTGACTACTCTGCGCCCTTCCTGTACAACTACACTCAGTGGCGGAACTAAAATAGAGAGGAAACTGGTGCAAGAATTTTTGGGGGCTGATTAACTGATTAAGCAATGGAACTTACTCAAAGATATAATTAATATATATATAAAGCCAGGGAACTCCATGAGTGACAAAAGGAGGGGGATGTTTCTGAACACTGTGCCACCTGTCCCTAATAACGAACAAATGGTAATAGAGCTCAAAAGGAGAGTTACAGGTCAGAGGGGAAGTAACCCCTAGTACAACCTTAGTAAAACCAAAAAGATAGTCCTGGAGCTAAATAGCTACCCAAGAAGAAGTTAAAACGTAACTTTTACTATATTGATTAAAACCAAATACTCAAGGTGGAAACATAAAACAGAACAAACATTACATACAAGAGATATCAGCTTTAAAAAAGTCACCAAGCTGATTAAAAGGATATAACAATGGTAAACCACCACAATGTGTCATTTTACTGGGATAATTGTAGCAAAAACTGTTACACCATAGGATAATTATAAATATTCTCATAGGATGCAAATTGTAATCTCCTCAAAGTAAATAAACTCTGGTGTATTATGGAAAAATAAAATTAATATAATCTCAAATTCTAAATAACCTAGAAACTGTACCTTTCGAGGGGACCTAAGCTTAAAAAAACAATATAGTGTCAGGCATACAAACGTGTATAAAATCATTTTAGGTCCTCAGCCCCTACACATCCCCCTCCCCCCATTAAAATGATTTATAAAAAGTACGTATTTTAGCGTCGCACAAGTCTGCCGCAGGTGGCTCTACCCTCTTGGCTGAGATAATCAAAATTAACAATCTCAGCCAATCCAATACTTGGAAGGCTATTGCACATGTGCCTGCAAAATGCCACACTGCACTAATCAGTATCTCCTCATAGAGATGCACTGAATCAATGCATTTCTATGAGGAACGTTTAGCGCCTCCATGCAAAGTGTGGAGACGCTGAACATCAGTGCTGCAGGGACATACACTACACACGAGAACAACTACATTAAGCTGTAGTTGTTCTGGTGACTATAGTGTCTTTAAACACAAAGAGATGCTAAACTATCTATCTGAATTGAAAATTGTAACCAATATCAAAGGGCTTCCAGGCATAACTTGGCCATCAAATCACTATATTTTATTGAAGCCATATTATCTACTTGATATAAACGCCACAGTAGTGTATGGTGCCGAGCCCCGATGCTCATTTCGCCCGTCAGGCGCCTCTTCAAGGCAAATAGGTTCCCCCATTGCCGATACTTAAATAGAGCACACACTTTCAGATGCACACTCACTGACAAACACACAAACATTCTCTCGCAAATTATTATTTTTAAATCATTTTTATTCAAGTCCAGCCAACCTCCCTACTGGAGTGGATGCTCTCCCTGGGGTCCAGTGTGGGGATTGTATAATCTTCATGTTGTTCCTGGAGTACTCCCTCTCAGTGCTGGAAGAGAATGAAAATTGCAGTTCCCTTGTCATTGCCTCCATTCTCCCCCCGGACACTATATTTAGGCAGAGTAAGCAGGTGCCTACTCTTCCTTAGTGCAAAGTTGGCAACCTCCTAGGAGGTACTTACGACCTCAGTGGCCCCTGTAGTTCCGCCACTTGGGTTAGTTACAAAAATTTGAATTTTTTTTTCACTAAAATGAGACTGGAAAAGTTTCAGTTATCTATGCTTTCAGTTTGGCTACTCTAGCCATAAATTTGAAATTCACTTTGAATTATCTCTTTAGTAAATAACCCTGTGTGAGTGATGGGGGATATTGGGGAGGATGGCAGAGAAACATAAGGGACATTGTGAAGATGGTGGGGACACTTTTAGACCAATAGGGAGCATATGTTAAATAATGTAATTTGCTATCGGTAAAATGATACACTGGGAAGGTTATTATTAGAATTGGGTATACGCCAGACTTCACATTTTAAATATGCAATTTCTCACACAAAAAAAATAAAATATTCAAAAAGGGTTTTTCCAATTATATTTTTACATATAGTTGAAATGTAGTTATTTTAAAAGCTAAGTGGAATAGATAACCAACACCTTTCAAATATATTTTGTTTATTCTCACCTTTCTTAAACAGTAAAGCATGATTTAAAAAACTGCATCATCGCCATGACTGGGGAGTTTTACCCCTCCCAACCTCTCATTCGATTTTCTGGGGGAATATTAACCCCTCATGCCCCCATTTCCTACACAATGCAACTGACTGAACATCTTTCTTCTCAGTAAAGTAAAGTTTAAAGGGGTACCATAACAACATAACTGAGAGTTAACTCATCTAAGTCAATTAATAGAGCCGCCTGTGGCAGTCCTAGGCTTCTGTCTTAAATCTTTCCAGCAAGTGGATGTTGGAGGGTGCAGACTGAACATACACTGGAGAGACGTCTTTGGGGTTAAACTGTTCATGGACGTTTTAATCTCGAAAGGAGAGCCATTATAAAAGACCTCTTGGCACCATAAAAACTTAACTTTAAAAAAGTTGTTATGGTGCCCAGAGTTTTCTTTTAACAAATCTGCATATCAAAATTGCTGACTAAAGGGGAGCTCTCACCAGGATTTTTAACAATATAATTGCCTATTCGCTTTATTTAGAAATGCTGTGTTTGTGAGGCAAAATAGCATTGAATGTTAAAATCCAAACCACTGTATTTAAATTTATCCTGGAATTTGGCCCCTCCATCTTGGCTAACCATGTATCATTGTTATAAATGTAATTCAAATTTTAACATGAGTTATAGATGAGTGTTAATGGTGTAATTTCCAGAGAAGTGGCTATTATCATTTAAGAAAACAAGATTATTTTTTACTTATTGCTAATATGTTATGTAAATGCTCTTTTAAAGGGCACGGGGGCATCATATTAAATACAAAGTATATGTATCTAATATATACTATTTTAACATAAAATTAGCTGAAAGTCTTGTGAATTAGATGGGCTGTCAGAGAAAATTGTAAAGGACTGATTCACTTAGAAAATCATAATAAATATATAACTTTATGCTACGGAAGTCCCACGGCAGCCAGACATTATGAACTATAGATGATTTTCCTTGGTCTACATTTGAAGAGTTACATTGATTTGTCTTTGGATACTTATATTGCAAATACTTATATTGTTCCTATTGAAAAAAAAAACCCAATTAAAACAATTATGATCATTTTAACTAAATTAATTTGAACTAAAAAAAAAAAGAATTAGAAAATGAGAATAAAAAAAACAAAAACAAATGATTTTCTCTGTATGATTTTAATTTGTATGTACAAACTGTATCAGTAGATAAAAATCCCATGCCATTTGCTGGTAAGGTTGCAACTAACAGTGATGTCATTACATCTTACATCATAATAAGCTGAGGTTGATAACAAAGGCTTGCACCTTCTGAAGCCAGTCAGTGCTTAGCTAGGACTACACCGTAAACAGGTACTCATCAGATTTTATATCTATTATCACAACAAACTGGAAATTTCAGGTTAATACTGGACAATGCTAATATTTCAATGTCTTTGGTTTCCTAGCATGAAGTCTGTCAAGCAGTATTACTGTCACATAGACCTAAACAGGATTTGAAGAGGATGGTAATGTATAAAGGGATGGGGTGATTATAAATGAGTAAGATATGAGACAGGTTTAATATAGATCCAGGGACATTTTTGAAGCCGATTGCCTTAATATGGGGTCAGGAAGGAATTTTTTGCTTGGACATATTTAATATTAATAATGATATGTCCAAGTTTTTTCGCCTTCCTCTGGATCACTTATTCACTAAACTTTAAATTGTAGCAAATTAAAGTCTGACAGGGTTGTTCACTAAACATCACATTTTGCCTGGAAGCCGTTTGTATTCTGTAAACCCCTCACAGTTAAATGTTTATAATATGTAAAATTGTTTTAACTATATGTAAGTGTAATTTAAATTTATAAAAGATAAACACACTGAATACAATTAGAAAACTGTATTCATTATATAGTTGCTTTTTAATTACTATGGTTTACAATAATACAAAGGCAAAGGACCACCTACAAATGTAAATCCTTGAAAATACATTTTAAACACCTAAAAAGGGAAGAAGAAAATTCATTAATAAATTGCGATATATAATTGACACTAGAATATATACTCAACATTCACCTGTAAGAATGTATTCATAAACATAGTGCCAAGACCCAATTGTAGGGCAATTTCTAAAACAGAAAAACATTAATATGGAAAGGATGTCTGAATGAAAAGGCAAAAACCCCAAAAAGAATTAAAGAAAATAAACATTACAATTTAAAAAAATAAATAAGAATAAAGATTACAACTATATGAGAATAACAAAAAAGAAAATGTGCAAAAATAGAAGAAAATGAAAAGAACAGTAAATAAATCATTGTATGAATAACATATAGAAAAATTATTCTAAAAATAATACAAATTAAAAATAAATAAAATAAAAATAAACTAATATGGAAAAGATAGAAAGTGAAAACAAGTCAAAAAGAAAATACTGAAAGAAACAGTAAACCTAAAAATGAAAAAAAATACAAAAAAATGACAATAACAAAATAGAAAAATATGAAAAAATAGAAAGTAAAACAAATCATTGAATGTAAAAAAAGAAAATATTAAAATGAAACAATCTTTAAAAAACAAAATAAAAATAAACAGTATGAAAACAAAAAAATGAGAAAAACAAAAAATAGAAATGTAAATAAATAAGAAAAAATAGAGAAAAAACTTAAATAAAAATAAACTAATATGGAAAAGATAGAAAATGAAAACAAGTGAAAAAGAAAAAAATGAAAGAAACAGTAAACTTAAAAATGAAAAAAAAATATAAAAAATGACAATAACAAAATCGAAAAAATGAAAAGTAAAACAAATCATTGAATATAAAAAAATATAAAAATAAACAGTATAAAAACAAGAAAATCTAAAAAATGAGAACAAAAAATAGAAATTTAAAAATAATTTATTGTATTATGTAAAAATAACACTAAAAAAAAAATCTAAAAAATAAAATGTATTTATTGAAACATATATTGATGAATACATCTCAGAGGAATGATTGTGGATTAAAAAAACAAGACACCTGAAGTGTTTTAATCAAAACTCCGGAGATCAATGTCAATATTAAAAGGATCACTATAGGGTCAGGAACACTAACATATATTCCTGACCCTATAGTGAAAAGCCACCATTTAGGTGGCTTGCCCCCCCTTTTATTCCCCTCAGAATGGGTTAAAACTCACCTTATTTTCAGCTCTCCATGGGTCCGTTGGCGCTGGCCCCGCCCTCTTGGTTACATCCTCAAAATTGCCGATTTTTAGCCAATCCAATGCTTTCCCACGGGGGAAGGCATTGGAATGGCTAAAATCGGCAAGGGGCGGGCCAAACAGTGTTTGGCCAATCAGCACCTCCTCATAGAGATGCATTGAATCGATGCATCTCTATGAGGAAAATTCAGTGTCCCCATGCAGAGCGTGTGAACACTGAACGGCAGGGCTGCTTTCTGTGCAGCACTGAGCCAGGAAGCCCCTCCAGTGGCCATCTTGGAGGTGTCCCTAGGGGCACTGTAAACACTGCCTTTTCTGTTAAAAGGCAGTGTTTACATGAAAATGCCAGAAGGGAGCTATTATACTTACATGAACAACTACATAAAGCTGTAGTTGTTCTGGTGACTATAGTGTCCCTTTAAGTTCCGTGGCTGAAGGTTTTTTTACACTAAAACATTTCGATGCAAACCTATGCACCTAAAGCTTTAGTGTGCCTGTTTAGTTGTATAGGTATTTGAATCCTCTGGCGTGGTCCAATCCAATGCACCTTATAGAGGAATATTGGGGAACTGATGCACATTCGATTCCCTTTCACTGTGCGTGTCAGTGTAATAGCCACTGGAGTTGTGCTTAAACCTTCAATGTAAACATTACTGAAAAATGGCAATGCTTTACCTTGCAGGGTTAAACTGACAAAACCACTGCACCGAGGCCACTTCATTGAGATTAAGTGGCCTGGGTGACTTTATAGGTCCTTTAATTTGTTAATCCAATAAGTTTCCCTTTGAGCTAATTTTTTTTAAATTCTGTTTTCCACCTCTCCATTGTGGTTACAATGTTAATGTACTACATGTGTTTAATATTTATTTCTTAATGTATTTTGATGTTCCACTCTCTTGTTTTTGTAATCACCAACATGTATGTTACAATGCATTGTTTGCGCAAGGGCTAATGAGGTTACATCCTGTAAATTATTGGGAGAGCCTTTTAACCTCAGGGGTGTGGACACTGTTCAACTCCCCAAATGGGTGCCATCTCCCAATCCCCGGAGATATCTAGGAGTTCTAACCTATTAAATAGATATCAAGGGAGATAACTTTGTCCTCCCCAACAATCAGTGGCAGATGAGGGCTATTAAATAAATCAGGGGTGATTAACATGCCATAGGGTTTGGGTGGTGATTTTTAACAAAATAAAGAGGTGTAAACATGACATTGTTCAGCGCCACAAATGGGTGTACATTAACCCCATTTGTCTTATTGTCCCCAGGTCCCTAGCCATCCCTTTAATTACAAAATCCCTACCTACCTCACCTTAATAGTAAGGGTAGGCACAATAAATATAATACCTGTAAAAATCTTTGAAAACTCACTTCTTCATTAAAGCGTATCAATTAAACTGTCAGCAGGTTTCTCATCCCCCACCCCATGACTCCGTTCCTTCACCTGTCAAAAATGACCTACCAAGCACTCAATAAACCCTTCTGTAACAAACTATTTAATTCCCCTACTTTAACCCTTTGTGTCACTATACCCCACTCCCTCTAGCATGTAAGCTCATCGAGCAGGGCCCTCAACCCCCTCTGTTGCTGTACGTCAGTGGTCTGATCTCAATTATGTGTCTGTTAGTCCACCCATTGTACAGCGCTACGGAATCTGTTGGCGCTATATAAAATAATAATAATAATAATAATAATAATAAATACTTACTTACCTTATTTATGAGAATGGACAATGGTATGTCCACTCACCCTACCGTATTAATACCCTGCTCAAAGTCAATGTGCAAGTGGGTGGACAATGGCATGTCCGTATTTTTTTTTTTTTTTAACTCTGTGCTCAAAGGCTACTAGCTTTGCCAGTGAACAAATAGTTCAGACATTTAAAATATGGGCCTGGATTTTAAGGGTACGGGGCTCGGATTTTATGCATTTAAGTTGTCTGTGTTTAATCCAGACGCATTCTGGGCTCATTCAGAGTTAAATCTTATGAAGAACATTTTTATTTTGTAGTTATAATATACACAGTGATATGTTTTTGTCCCATTTTGTAAGGGGCCATTGAGACTTTAGTGAATAACCCTGAGAATAGTCAAATTGAGCCAACAACAGCCAAGTTATGACTATGACAAGTTATGACTAATTATTTTGCCTACATTTTGCATCAATTTAAATTTTTTATAATTTAGAGTTTAGTGAATAAACCTGTTAGTTAAGATTTTTTTTCCTTTTTGTACAAAAGGTTTTTTTTCTTCATTATAAATAAATAAAACAAATTTAAAAATATTTTCTTCTCTCATGTTCTTTTATTGCAACGCAACTCAACAGCGCTGATTTACTACATTTTATAAAGTTAGACTTCAAATACCAGTATTGACCTTAATTTTAGGAGTGTCCTGGCTTCAACTTAATCTAAGAATAGTTTTACAACAGCTTGAGGGAGTACCAACATTGAATAGCACCATAGCAATTGTTTACTATTAATGTTTGTACTACTGAATATTCTCTCTATATTTTGTATATTATATGGAGTGTTAATTTAAACATTAAACATGATGTTAAGAACCACATAGCGGCTATGGTGTAAGGAGGTCCCTGGCCCCATTGATGGGGCAAATTATTTAGCAACGGTTTGCCTACTTACCTTGGTTGCGCTGGGTTTATAGAGGCTGTATTTCAATCCTGCTGTTCATTTATTGTCTGAGAGAGTCAGCATTCTCAGCCAATTAATGCAAATTTATTCATAGAAATAGACAAAAAAAAATTGACATTAGCCAGCCTGGAACATATGTTCCGTACTGACTAGTGATGCCGTAATGACATTGCTGGCGGTGGAGTTACACCTCTAGCAGCAAAGTGGTAACATTTTCACAGCGAAACACTGTACTAACAAAGAACCACGTAGCTTGGAGTCTAAGTCCATTGCTGGTAATCATAGACTGTGCTTCATTTAAATGTTGAAAGTGGAGGGTGCACAGTGTACTTTACATTTTAACAAGTAAGGTGCAGAATGTGATGCACAGGATAGGAGCAGCACAGGAAGCAAATGTCAACACAGTACAAGGAGGCAAATAAAAAATGCCAAAGTGCAGTGCTTCCCTCAATTCCCATTTCCTTTTCCCAACAGTAACACTTTTCTTCTCATTAATAAAAGGGTGGGCCAGTGATGCGAATCATGTAACCAGAACCGCCCACAAGGGTGAACATGCCCGAAAAGGGGGCGTGTGTGCCTGAAAGATTAGGTCAGCCTGGCATGAATGCATGCTGGCCAACAAAGGGCATACCATGCAGACAGCACCCTGAACTTGGCATAAATGCATGTAATGATGTGCTCACTCCACGCTTTCTAAGGACTGTCCCCTAGCAATCGCTGGTCCACTCCTCTCCTTACCTTCTTACTAGCAGGCAGAAGCTTCTTTTATACAGTCTGGGACAGAGGAAAGGTGTATGTAGTGAGTGTTGAAGAATGAGAACATGCTACAGTGTTAGAGAGACTGAAGCAGCAAGAGTATTTGCATAGTGCCGCCTCCAGTCGGTAAATAAAGGGTTAAAAAACCCTTTACTCACCTTTACCCATTGCCCCCTTTGACGGCCCACATTTGATCTCCCTATAGGAAAGCAATCAATGCTTTCCCATGGGGAAAAATCTGACGCTGGATATCTTCATGCAAAGTGTGAGTCTGTCCAGCGTCAGATACCGTACCAAAGGTCCCTTTCGACCCCAGAAGCCCTCTAGTGGCTGTCTGGTAGACAGTCAGTGTGGGCAGGCTTACAGCTGCAATATAAACATTGCAGTTTCTCTGGAACTGCAGTGTTTAACACTGCAGCACTAGGTGCACAAGGGACAATGCACCCACACCACTCAATGAGCTGAAGTGGTCTGGGTGCCTACAGTGTCCCTTCAGTAATATATAGATATGTAAATATACTGCGTGTATTC